GAGAGTATAACTCCCACTTACTGAGTTATTGTCTCGCACCTGTTTGTCATTTCAGTCTAATTTAGTTAAGCTCTCTCAGAGCTTACTAACAAGGTATCCAATATAATTATTTAGTACTTTGGAGAATATACCTCACACTTACTCAGTTTTTGTCTCTCTCTGAGGTTACCATCAAGGTATCCAATATAATTATCTAGTACTTAGGCATTTAAACCCCATGCTTACACAGTTTAGGTGTCTAGATCCTGTAAGTTTTTTTGGAACTTACCATCATGGTACCCAAAATAATTATCTAGTACTTTGATGTACCCCACACTTACCTGATAAAGACCAAGAACTGGTTTGATCTAGGATATCTACCATATATCTAGTCTTTGTAGTGTTTTGTTTGAACACAGCTCACAGTGGATTCACTGATCACTGTTTCTGTTATTTGAACTGCTCATATTCTCATTTTCTCTGATTCATGTTTGTATTTAAAGCCTGATTATCTGTGCTTTGTTGGCCAAACAGTGTGTCAGTATATTACAGTGAGGGCTGTAGGAGCAGGAGGCCCATATGGAGCAGCTGATTTGTATCGGATCGGGCCGCTGTCGGTGCTGGCAGGTGTGGAGGTGTTGGGTGAAGGTGTAATTGCTGGCTGTGACACATATGATTGTTATTTAAACCGTGTGAGTGTATCTGTGCGCACACACTCTCGATCCTGGCCGCCGTGTCCTTCTGCGCTCCCCGCTCGCTCTGAATCTGCATATTGTTCAGACGCTCCCCGGTGGCGCTCGGCTTCATTTGCTCTTGGAGCTCCTCCAGCGTCCTCCTGCAGCCCAGATGGCCTTCTGCTCTCAGCTCCGCTACAAAGGTTAGCCGCGGCTTTATCGGCTAATTACAATCACAAAACCAGGACGTCGTGGAAAATCTGAATATTAAATGTCCACTTGTCATCTGACAGCGACGGGATCCCCTTCTTAGGGAAAAAAGGTCAGCGGCGCTTTGGAGCGTGATTTGAGCCGCGGCCCAGTGGAAGCGGCTCTAATCAGAATGCATGGCAGCGAGCTTTACTTTCTGATATAGTAATTAATTAAGGGCTAATGGAGAGAAATGGTGTTTGCTACTGCACCCTCATTTGAGGTCATCTACGCAAATTTAGGGAATTAATCTTCACTTAAAGTGTGTGAATTTAAACAATTTACATGATGCTGAAGTAATTTAGTGTAAGAATTCTGACCTACAGTGAATAAATCTTTCTAATAGTGTCCAAAAGTAGCTTTTTAATGTGCGGAAATTCCCATCATTGCATTTTAGAAGCTACAGAAGTGCTGAATTCCCAAAACCAGCTAACATCCTGTAGTAGACACAAGTTAATATATAACCCAGATAATATAATGTATACAGTCTTATGCAAAAGTACCCCCTGCTTTCGAGTGTTAATTATATGTTTTGTTGATTTTCTACAAAAAGCACACCTACATATGGTAGTCTGCTCATTTTAGAGCACAGTTTCTATTTATTTGCTGAGCTCAATATATTAAATATTATATATATATATATATATATATATATATATATATATATATATATATATATATATATATATATATATAAAGAGTTAGGGTTATGGTTATATTTGGTTTTGTATATATATGAGTTGTAACTTTTGCCAAGGCTACATTTTGTTTTATTTTATGCCAATACGTTAAAATCAGCAAATAAACAGTACTTGTTTTCCACTTAACTTTCACTAAAATTAATGTCACTTCAAAATCAATAGAATGGCTGATGTGACCAGGGTGCCCAACTTTTATATACGACTGTAGGGTTTATAACCTTAAAAATTCTTTGGTCTAAAGGCATATGAATAAATACATGACATTCGTTTATAAGATGTTGTAAAGGTGATCCAGATATATTTAAAAACCCCAAAGAAACTAGTAGGAAACAAAAATTATAACATACAAAGAGAGTTGTATAGGTTTGTGCATGGGATATATACAATCTGTATAGGATTTTATGATCAAACTCATAAACGTACTATAACATTTCTACAAACTAGATACAAAGAGTGTTTTTGATGTTGTAATTTAGGAAGTTCAATAATAAATTCATATATCTATATAATATTATAGTAAATAAAAGCTAAATAATAAGTAAAATATTGTAATTATATAGTAATTATAACAATTTTTTGTTTGATATTAATTTTATTAGAACTTCATTCTGAATATTAATTTTTTTAGAACCTCATTCTTGATATTAATTTTATTAGAACTTCATTCTGAATATTAATTTTTTTAGAACCTCATTCTTGATATTAATTTTATTAGAACTTCATTCTTGATATTAATTTTATTAGAACTTCATTCTGAATATTAATTTTATTAGAACTTCATTCTTGATATTAACTTTATTAGAACTTCATTCTGGATATTAATTTTATTAGAACTTCATTCTGGATATTAATGTATTAGAACTTCATTGTGAATATTAATTTTATTAGATTAATTTTATAAGGATATACTTTGTCTTCACTGATGTTCTTAAACGTGGTAAACAGTATAAGTAAAGAGGACAGGGTGAGTAGATGTGTTGAGTTCTGTTTATGTTCAGTATCTGTCTTTGTCACAGCTGTTTTCTTCCTGACAGATGTTGAGTGCTGTTTTCTGGTCATGGTGTTCGGTTCTCTTCCTGTTTACGGCACATTTAGTCTGGAAACACCATCTTTCCACGGAGCAGCGCAGTGTGTATTAAACCGTGGTTCCTTTTGGACTCCAGTGAGAGCTCAGCAGCTTCAGGCGGTAAAGAGGTTGTTAAAGCAGCGTGTGAGTGAAACCTGGGGCCATCACAGGAGCAGCATCCATCTGTACCGTCCAGCACAGGGCAGTAACTGACCGATCTGATCGAGGTTTCAGCTGAACAACGGCTCTTAGAGAGATTTGTAAAGCGAAAGTTTCAGATTGCTCCACCCTCCGTTTCACACCTAATGAAAGCTCTCCTGCTGTGACGCTCTGATACTGAGAGAGTCTGAGTTAAGGGTCGGAGTAAAAGGGTCCCAATATCTCAGGTGAAAAAATAGCGTCAACGCAGGAGACCAAAGTATTAAGAGTTTAAATGTGTGTTAAGACGGCTCCCAAGTGATGCTACAATGTGAGTGTTGGCCCTGTCATCAGTTTCATCCCAGGTGATGCTACAGTCCATGAGAGCACAGTTGCCCTTGCTCTCTTTGGGTGGGTAGGATGCCCGGATGGGGGTCGTTGCATTAGTGACAGGTCGAAAAGATGCAGTGGTGCTTTACAGGTCTCGGAGGAAGCCTGTGCTAGCCTTCACCTTCCTAGTGCTGGTGGTATCATGTGACTGGGGGAGTCTAGTGACTCGTGGGTGGAATTGGAGACGATTAAATTGGTGAAAATCAGGAAAAATCCCAAAAAAAAATGTATATTAAGACCAATCGTGGACTACTAGGATATCAAAACCAGTTACACTTTACGTGAACCCTGCTACATGGCAGATTTCATATGATGTCATGGCAGACTGTGTCCTGTAATAAAACAGTGTCATGTGACAGATATCATGATATTTAAGAGCTTCATGACTAACTAGAGTATCTGTAGCAAAAAGATCAATATATGAGCTGTTATGACATTGAACATTGGAATGTTTTGATGGCATCTGTCATTACCATCACCAGTTGTTGCTGGTCAGTTTCTCTTGGAGTCACTGACTGACTGACTGATCTCAACTGTTGAAATGTGCAACGAGAAGTGTGTCCTCCTTTTTTGCCTAATTTGAAAACTCCTTATATATCTGATGCACTTTATTTGGAACACCTCCTTGTTTCTACGCTCATTGTCCATTTTATCAGCTCCACTTACTATATAGGTGCACTTTGTAGTTCTACAGTTACAGACTGTAGTCCATCTGTTTCTCTGATACTTTGTTAGCCCCCTTTTACCCTGTTCTTCAGTGGTCAGGACCCCCATGGACCCTCACAGAGCAGGTACTATTTGGGTGGTGGATCATTCTCAGCACTGCAGTAACACTGACGTGGTGGTGGTGTGTTAGTGTGTGTTGTGCTGGTGCGAGTGGATCAGACACAGCAGCGCTGCTGGAGTTTTTAAACACTGTGTCCACTCACTGTCCACTCTATTAGACACTCCTACCCTGTCAGTCCACCTTGTAGATGTAAAGTCAGAGGCGATAGCTCATCTGCTGCTGCACAGTTTGTGTTGGTCATCCTCTAGTCCTTCATCAGTGGTCACAGGACACTGCCCACAGGACGCTGTTGGCTGGATATTTTTGGTTCTCAGTCCAGCAGCAACACTGAGGTGTTTAAAAAGTCCAGCAGCACTGCTGTGTCTGATCGCACCAGCACAACACACACTAACACACCACTACTGGACTAAGAATGACCCACCACCCAAATAATACCTGCTCTGTGGGGGTCCATGGGGGTCCTGTGCGCCTATATTTTTCACTGTATTAACACTGTAACTGCTGTAATGCATTCACGTATTTCATTAATTACTTACTTTACACACTGATTAATCATAATTACTGATAATGACACAAAGTCCAGCTAATTAATTCAGTGTCACATACATAATGTAGTACTTTTTTTGGTAGTTGGTAGGTCAGTGGACATTTGGGTGATTTATTTATTTATTTTTTTGATAATATTCAGTTTTTTTGTTTGTGTTTAATTTTCACCGTGACATTCATGTCCACTTCATTATCAGCCCCCACCAGCTGCGTATGTTGTTCATATTTTCTTCATACTCATTAATCATGTCATTAAATCCCAGTGTAGCGAAGCTTAAACAAAGACGCCTGTGCTTTAATCATGATTTCTGTAATTAATGAGCTGCTGAACTGCAGCTTTAGCCCAAAAAAAGAGGGAAAGAAATCTGGCAGGGAGAACTGAAAGCTGCTAAAACTAATGGCTGTATCGTTTCTCTTCTCTCCCCTGTTGCTCCCCCCTCCCCCCACTGCTAATATGGACACCTACGAAGGCTCAGGTCAGTGCTGTGTTCATTCTGTTTCTGCCCTTTCTTTGACTAACCGCTGACCCTCGGCCATCTGTTGGATCAGAACTGAGCAAATTAGTGTGAATTTCGCTCACAGAGGTTTCGCCTCCGTTTCGCCACCGTCCCACAGACGTGCGACCCGAGAGAAAAAGCGAGAGACTTCATTATATTTCATTCTCACCTCTTTCTCAGGAGCTGCTTCCGTCTGAGAGCTATTCAGAGAGAGAGATGGAGCAGGACAGAAAGAACCATTAAAGCGATAGTTCAGCCAAAAATGAACTGTTTTCCCCCTCATGCAAAATATAAGTCACCCAAAACCCTGTTTGGTGTCTGAAGTGTGCTTAGTTTCTGTACTGGAGCTATAAGGCTAATGAAGCTAACAAGCAATGGAAGCTTATACCCCACCAATTAGCATCATGCTCATCACACACTCACCTCAGACTGTGTCGGGTTCATGGAAATTGTCCCATTCACTTCATATATATCGTCACAGCCCCAAAAAAACATGTATCTCCATTTTTGTCGATTTTTATTTTTCTACGTTATTTGAACACAGTAGTTCTCCTTTACACTGTGTAAAAATTTCATGATGATTGGACCAATAGAAACGCCCCAAAATCAATCAGTCTGAATCAGTCTGTACATTGACTTACAATAATAGTTAAGTGCGTTTTTGCCCTCTCCTGTAAAGTTACTACTTTGGAGATACTTGTTTTTCTTTGGACAGCGACAATATGGAAGTTACGCTGCAAAAACAGCCCACTTTGAATTTAAACGTTTTTGTGAGGTCACAAAAAACAACACATTTACATTTATTCAGCCGGGGTGCTTTCTGAATTAGGCACGATATAGGGCAGCCAATCAGAGCAGAGCTCATTTACATACATATAACCATCTTGTATAAGTCACAGTAGGCAAAATGAACTGTTTAACTCTAAGGAATTAACAGAGGCTGGAATAATTTCATGTGATTTGACACGATTTAATGAATTGAATGAATTCAGTGTTAATATTTAATTAATTTGATGAATTTAATGACATGATTTAATCAATGTAATAAATTAAATTACATGACTTAATGAATTTAATTAATTTAATGACATGATTTAACCAATTTAATTAATTTAATAACATGATTTAATACATTTAATAAATTTAATGACATGATTTAATGAATTTAATGAATTATGACAAATATTTCAGTGGACTTTGGGTTTCAAAATAAAACCCAAGATAAATAAATGTCATCTCTGATAGACTTGCTTATGTGTTTTCTGAACCTGTATGACTTACTGTTGTCTACAAACACAGACTAAAGACCTTCACACAGCTGAAACCAATACAGCCATCCTGAAATCTGAATTTTGTTCATAAAGCTGACGTTTCTTTATTCGGCAGCTTCATATTCGGTTTCAGTTCCACCATAAACAGCGAAGCAGTTACATTCACCAGCTATTATGCAACTGCTGCACTATTTAAGGTGGAGTGGGAAAGTTAGAAACTGCCAAATAGGAAGCCAACTTCACTAACACATTTGAGGCAAGAGGTTTATGATTTAGGCAGTTAGCACAATGCTAAATGGTGAGGTACAAGCTTCCATTACTTGTTAGCCACGTGTCTCAGCTGATCAGCTACATTTGAGGAGGAAAACAGTAAAACACAAGCTTGCGGCTGCAGCCCTCCTGCTGTTTCCCAGACGCTGGCTAAAGCAGGAGAACACGACGGAGAGATCTTTCTGTCCTCCATCTGCCCAGTTTCTGCTGCGCCTCTAAACGTTTCCGTTTTTCTCTCAGATGATGAACAGCGAACATGCAGGCAGTTATTTCTGAACCCAGCAGCCTCCATCTGGTGTAATAGCGGTGTTTAAGAGTGCGCGGAGCAGAGGGGAACGACCCTCTTTGGAGCTTCGCTACATTTATCGCTCATTTCACTCATCGGCAACCCATCCTGATCACGCCATCCTGATCACGCCTTCAGCAGCGTCTTCAACAGCATTAGATCAGCTTCAGGGCTGCAGTTACAGAGGCCTATGCATACAGCTTAAACTGATAGAGAGAAGGAGGGAGCAGAGGAGGAAGGAAGGAAGAGGAGGTGTAATAAGAGCAGAGAGACAAAGAAAAGAGGGGATGAGTGGATAGTTAAGGAGAAAGAGAGGAGAAATGTGGAGAGCAGATGAGAGGAATAAAGAGAGGAGGAGAGAAGAAGTGAGGAGAAGGAAAAGGACTGGTAGAGGAGGAGCGGAATGAAGAAATAAAGAGAGGAGAGGAGAAATGAGAGAAGCAAAGAAATTAGAAGAAAGGAGAGGAACATAAAGGAGAAGAGAGGAGAAATATGGAGAAGGTAGGAGAAAAGAAGACAGTAGGAGATGTGAGGAAAGAAGAAAATAAGGAGAGGAGATGAGAAAAGGGAGAAGGACAGGAAAAAAGATAAGATGAGAAAAGAGGAGGTGTAATAACAGAGGAGAAGGGAGGAAAGAGGATAAAGGATGAAAGAATAGTGAAGGAGGTAAAGAGAGAAAAAGAGGAGGAGAGAGAATTATGGAAAGAGAGGAGAAGAGTCAGAATAGAAAATAGATGAAACTGAGAAATAGAGAGGAATGGAAAGTGAAGGAGGAGAAATAAGAGTGGATGATGGAGGAGCAGAGGAAAAAAAAGAAAGAAAAAGGTGTGACGAGGAGAAAATGAAAGGAGGAAAAGGAAGGGAAAAGTAAGACAAGAGGACGGGACAAAAGAGAAAATTGAAGAGATGAGAGATGAGAAGAGAGGAGGGAAGCGAGGAGAGGAGAGAGAGAAGGAGAGGGGAGAAGAGGAGGGATGATGTGGAGAGAAGATGAGAGGAGAGGAAAGGAGAGGAAAGGAGATGAGAGGAGGGATGATGAGTAGAGAGGAGTGGAGAGAAGATGAGGAGAGGAGAACACAGGAGAGGAGAGGAGGGATGATAAGAGAGGAGAGAATTGGAGAGAAGATGAGAAGAGAGGAGAAGAGGGATGATGAGAAGAGAGGAGAGGAGAACAAGGGAGAAGAAAAGAGGAGAGGAGTGGAGAGAAGATGAGAAGAGAGGAGGGATGATGAGAAGAGAGAAGAGGAGAACGGGAGAAGAGAGGAGAGAAGACGAGGAGAACAGACGAGAGGAGAGGAACAGGAGTAAAATGAAAGGAGAAGAAATAATGAGAGGATAGCAAAGGAGGAGAGGAGAGTGACTGAGAGGATGGGAGGAAAATGAAGTAGGGGATATAAAAGGGAAGGATAAGAAAAGATGAGACAAGAAGGACAAAGGACAAAAAAGGACAGTAGAGGAGAGAATGACAGAATGGGAGAAATAGGAGAAGAAGAGATGAGAGAAGCAGGGGTGACATAAGAGGAGCATGGAAAAGATAGACTGAGAAGATAGTGAAGGAGGAAAAGGGTAGGACGAGAAGATAATAGAGGATGAGAGAAAATGAAGGAGGAGAGACGAGAGGGAAAGATGAGAAAAGATGAGACAAGGGGACTAGAGAAAAGAGGAGAGGGAGTAGAAGAAAAGAGGAAAATAAAGATGGCTGAATAGGAGAAGGTAAAAGAAGAGAAAAGGAAGTGGAGAGGACAGGAAAATGAAGAGGAGCAGGAGAGGAGAATAGAAAGGAGCAGAGAGTAGAGATGAGAGGAAGAGCAGAGAAGAGAATAAAAGAGTAGAGAGGATGGGAGGAGAGGAAGAAAGTGTATGGCAGATGCAGAGACAGATGGGGCTGATTGCTGAGTGTGTTTAGTGTGTGTTTGTCTCTGAGCCTCATATTAGTCCATAAACAACCTCAATAAACACTCTTATACATTAGAATAGGAGATATTAGTCCATAAACAACCTCAATAAACACTCCTATACATTAGAATAGGAGATATTAGTCCATAAACAACCTCAATAAACACTCCTATACATTAGAATAGGAGATATTAGTCCATAAACAGCCTCATATTAGTCCATAAACAACCTCAATAAACACTCCTATACACTAGAATAGGAGATATTAGTCCATAAACAACCTCAATAAACATTTCTTTATGCTAGAATAGGAGATATTAGTCCATAAACACTTCTTTACACTAGAATAGGAGATATTAGTCCATAAACAACTTCAACAAATGCTCCTTTATGCAAGAATAGGAGATATTAGTCCATAAACAACCTCAATAAACACTCCTTTACACTAGAACAGGAGATATTAGTACATAAACAACCTCAATAAATGCTCCTTTATGCTAGAATAGGAGATATTAGTCCATAAATAACCTCAATAAACACTCCTTTACACTAGAACAGGAGATATTAGTACATAAACAACCTCAATAAATGCTCCTTTATGCTAGAATAGGAGATATTAGTCCATAAATAACCTCAATAAACACTCCTTTACACTAGAACAGGAGATATTAGTACATAAACAACCTCAATAAACACTCTTATGTGCTAGAATAGGAGATATTAGTCCATAAATAACCTCAATAAACACTCATTTACACTAGAACAGGAGATATTAGTACATAAACAACCTCAATAAATGTTCCTATACACTAGAATAGGAGATATTAGTCCATAAACAACCTCAATAAACATTTCTTTATGCTAGAATAGGAGATATTAGTCCATAAACAACCTCAATAAACACTTCTTTACACTAGAATAGGAGATATTAGTCCATAAACAACTTCAACAAATGCTCCTTTATGCAAGAATAGGAGATATTAGTCCATAAACAACCTCAATAAACACTCCTTTACACTAGAACAGGAGATATTAGTACATAAACAACCTCAATAAATGCTCCTTTATGCTAGAATAGGAGATATTAGTCCATAAACAACCTCAATAAACACTCCTTTACACTAGAACAGGAGATATTAGTACATAAACAACCTCAATAAATGCTCCTTTATGCTAGAATAGGAGATATTAGTCCATAAATAACCTCAATAAACACTCCTTTACACTAGAACAGGAGATATTAGTACATAAACAACCTCAATAAATGCTCCTTTATGCTAGAATAGGAGATATTAGTCCATAAATAACCTCAATAAACACTCATTTACACTAGAACAGGAGATATTAGTACATAAACAACCTCAATAAATGCTCCTTTATGCTAGAATAGGAGATATTAGTCCATAAACAACCTCAATAAACACTTCTTTACACTAGAATAGGAGATATTAGTCCATAAACAACTTCAACAAATGCTCCTTTATGCAAGAATAGGAGATATTAGTCCATAAACAACCTCAATTAACACTCCTACACACTAGAATGGGAGATATTAGGCCATACACAACCTCAGTAAATGATTCTATACAGTACAATAAGAGATATTAGTCCATAAACAACTTTAATAAACATTCCTATACACAAGAATTAGGAGGAGCTCTAAAAATATCATGGAACTTCATCTGGACCGTCCACCCCCTTCCCCCTCCATGCAATTCCGCTCTAATTCAATTAAGGCCAATTTAAAACACTTCTTCCTAATTAGCTCTAATTAATTTGTAATGTGTATGAATTTTAAAGTGGTGTTATCAGTGGAGTTCTTAACTTTATCTCCTCTCTCTCTCTCTCTCTCTCTCTCTCTGTCTCTCTGCCTCTCTCTCTCTCTCTCTCTCTCTCTCTCTCTCTCTCTCTCTCTCTCTCTCTGTCTCTCTCTCTCTAGGTGTATGAGGCTGTACCATGCCGCAGTATGTGTAGTGTATATGAGTGGGTGACGGAGCCGTGGTCATTCTGCTCTATAAACTCTGTGGACCAGCTGCCGGCGTGTGGAGAGGGAGTGCAGAGCCGCAAGATACGGTACATACACACACACATAGAAAGGTCCAGGTAAGCAGGCAAACATAACTGCTACACTTTAATAATTACCCGTTAATGATTAATACACAGCTGCTAATGAATTAAAGTGGGGTATATCAGATGAGCTGCCTTCAGGAAAGTAAAATGCATGTTGTTGGGTAAGACAGCCAGTGATCTTGTATAGTCTCAGAAAAAAGGTACTAAACTGTTACTAGGGTGGTTCCCCTTGTCTCTGTGGTGGTACCCTCAAGGGTACATCTTCATATTTGTACCATAATCCATTGCAATTATATATTTTTGGTTGTATTGACTCCACACACCCCGTCTCGACTCCTGCCTTTTTTATTTTACTGTTCTATTTAAAACATTCGGTTATGAAAAGGTACAAATACGAACTTTTCACCTGGAGAAACTTATTTAAGGTTCACAATCAGACCTTAAAACCACTGTTGGAGCTTTGAGGGAACATTTACACTGTTTGCACCTTGATGAATAAAAGATGTACCTGCACAGAACCTTTATTACTAACAGTGTTCAGAAGTTGGGCTGGTTCATGTTTGGAAACCTGCAGAGCCAGTTGCACCAGTTGACCTTAGGCTGACTTTACACTGTGAAACTTTCAGGCAACTTTAGTTGCTTGAAACCTTCGTGAAACTAAATTGCACAAGCTGCATAATGTAAAGCACCCCACAACTCACTTGAAACTCAGCCACTAGAGTTGTGTGGAACAAGTTTCATGAAACAGCCAATCAAAATGCCGGAAACACATTGTGATAATGTCAAATGACATCATTTCAAATGACCAATTGCTTTGGATTAATAGACATAAAAATAAAACAGAAGATGGTTTACTGGACAGTTGAAAATGAGATCCTCACTGACTTTCTGTGAGTTTGGCAGTTTAATTTTCCCAGTTTCCTGAGCCGTGACAGCAAATGTGAGTTTCTTGAAGCTAACTTTTCTGTAACCAGCTATTTTTAACTAGCCAGCTAATGCTAACAGCTGCTTAAATGTCTGATTGTGTCAGTATTTATTCTTCTTTGGCTGCTATTATTGTGATCTATGCAGATTCATTCTCTCGCTGCCTGATTTTACAAGTAAGGTATTATTTTTAATGTGTTAAACTTACAAACGCACAGTGCTTCAAGAACAGGAGGAGTGAGACATCAAGCCCAACCATAATGGCTCTCTAAATGTTAAAAGGCTTAACATACAAAGATGAGTCATATGTAGTAAGAACAGTTAGGAGAGAAATATGTGGTAAAAGACAGATATGTGGATATAGAAAACAACAGTAGTTATAGCTGGAAAATTCATATTATACTAATGATATAACAATGCAAAATCACATTATATGAAGGCTATAATTATGTAAATTACACCTCTTGCAAAAGACTATATAGTTTTGATACAGTGTATCAAACAATAAATCGCTGTTGTCAGAACAAAACTTCATATCTGCAAAATGATCAGGAAGGAAAAAACCTTCTTTACTTTTAATGTAAGTCAATAGAACCAGACTTTTTTCTAAGTAATTTTGGGTCACTCCTTTTGGTCCATTCATCAGGAAAGGTAAACACAATGTAAAGGGCAACAGACATTTTCAAATTATGTCAAAAACTGAAAAACGAAATGGAGATTCGAAGTTTTGTTCCGACAGCAGCGATGCGCAGCTAATTTGGAATAATGAAATGGGTTGCATGCAACTTTGCTTTTGAATTGCTTTGTGTAACTGAATTTGCACAGAAAGTATGGTTGCATGAATGTCTTACTTTGTAAAGCCAACCTTAAGTTAGATAATAGCTTGAGTAAATGGTAACATGGGCCCTGTTTACTCTCTGCACTAATATTGCAAATATTATCCAAATATTATCCAAATATTGCGGTGATCAGATCTTCATTCAATCCAGTACAGCCCTTTGGAGCTTCTGCATCTAAATGCTGATCAGATTTCATTTCAGACATGCCTGCTGCTCTCCACGAGAACCATAAACGCAGGGTTCTGTCACAGTAGGGTAGAGGAGAGGATAGTAATGCTGAGCTTTATACACTCTTCTTTCAGTGGGGTTTAAGATAGGACACTGCAGGGTGTCCTTGGCATCACTGGTGACACCAGCTGACACCACAGAGTCCATGAAGGAGTGTGCCTCTGCTCCTCTGAAAGATCACACACACTTCTTCTTGACCCTGTCCTCTTTTATTAAGAAAACAAGGAAAGGAGATGAAGGGAGAGTAAAAAATTGGGACGCACCAACAGTTATACTCACCTAAAAGCACCCTATCAATATAATTCCATTCAAATTAATTTATGACCAGGAGACATACTGGTACTCTTCTGTCACCAAAGGATTAGTAAACCTGAGTGAATATTAAATTAAGTGATTAAGATTAGATTAAGTGACCCTTATTAGTCCCACAACGGGGAAATTTCACCTCCGCATGTAACCCATCTGTGCAGTGAAACACCATATACACACTAGGGGGCAGTGAGCACACTTGCCTGGAGCGGTGAGCAGCCCTATCCGCAGCACACGGGGAGCAGTTGGGGGTTATGTGTCTTGCTCAAGGGCACTTCAGCTCAGGGGATCAAACTGGCGACCTTCCTGTCACAGGGGTGGTTCCCTCCAGCCCACGACTGCCTCCAATGCTACAATAAAAAGTTTAACATTTTAAAGTGTGTAAAAGTGTAAATATGAGGACTGTTCAGATTAATATTAAACAGTGCAGTCTCTCTCTCTCTCTCTCTCTCTCTCTCTGTCTCCCTCTCTCTCTCTCTCTCTCTCTCTCTCTCTCTCTCTCTCTCTCTCTCTCTCTCTCTCTGTAGGTGTGTGTTGCGGGGCAGTGATTACTCCAGCAGTGTGAATGAGTCTCTGTGTGATGCTGAAGAAATGCCTCTGCAGGCTCAGACGTGTGTGTTACCGTGCCCCGGAGACTGTGTGATGTCACCCTGGAGTCCCTGGAGCTCATGCCCCATGGTAACAACCTATCACCACATCTGTAACCAACACATCTGTAAACATGGCAAATACAACCATCACATCCCTAACCATCACAATTGTATTCATCACAGCTGTAACAATCACAACCACTTCATAACCATCACAACGGTAACTATCATATCCATAACCATCAGAACTATAGCCTTTATATCTATAACAATCACAATCCCTAACCATCACAGCTGTGATTATGTGATTACAACTATAACCTACACAACTGTAACCACTACATCCACATCCATCACAACCATAACCACCATAATCATAACTATCACAGCCCTAACCATCAAAACTGTCATTATATCTGTAGCTATCTCAACTGTAATTATCATATCCATAAACATCAAAACTAAAGCCATCAAGTCTGTAATTATCACAGCCATAAAAATCACAACAATAACAATTGCAGCAATAACCATAAGAACCGTAACAAATCACACCCATAACCATCACAACCCATTACCATCACATCTGTAACTATCAAAACCATAACATCACAGTCATAACAATTGCATCTGTATCCATCGTATATATAAACCATTACATCTGTAACCACCTCATCCATACCATCACACCCATAACCACACAAACCTAACAATCACATATAAAAATGACAACCATACCAACAATATCCATCACATCCATTGCCATCACAACAGTAATCATTATGACTGTAACCATCTCACCCATAACCATCACAACTGAAACATCACATTCATAACTATCAAACCTCTAACATCACAACCATGGCCATCACAGCCATAATTAACACAACCATGGCCATCACAGCCGTAATTAACACAACCATGGCCATCACAGCCGTAATTAACACAACCATGACCATCGTTTTTATAACCTTCACATCTATAATCACACAAACATAACATCACATCTAGAACCAATCACAATTAAACCATTGACGTCACTATCATAACCGTAGTTCAGTGAAACAAGTGGAGAAACTGTGTAGAAAGTGCAGAGTCTTAACTTTCGATCCAAACCACATTTGTTTGTAAGTAGAGGAGGAGATGTTTTTGCTCAGGACAGTAGGACTCCAGGGCCGACCCTGAGAAACACTGGACTCTGCTATCATATTCATAGAGTTTCTCTGAGATGCTGAGTGCTGGCAGAGTTGAGCAGCTTTCATCAAAGGGGATATTTCATAGCTGGGTGTTTGTAAGCAGAACCCCAGCTAATAGAGGAATCCAGAGTTTTATAATTGCCCTGATAGTGAGACACAGAGGGCTTTTGGAGGAAGTGTTTCTGGAAAATCAGCAGGCATACAGCAAATTGAAGAACAGCGGGGAATTTCCCCCATCTGTGTGCTAGTGAATCAGACACGGCACCGGTCATAACACGATACACTGTTTTTCTTTTTCGCTGATTTTTTTTTTTTTCTTTTTTCAGCAAAGATGTTTTGCATCAATTTGAATATTTCATATTAACTCTGACACAGAAGCGTAGTCAGAGATACAGTTTCCCGCAGCAATTTTCAAACGAGCGAAATCCAAGACGACCAAAATCAAAATTCAAATGAATCTCCAGCAGCAATGGAGCATTTGTTATTCTAATTAATGTTGTGCTTGAAAAGTTGCGGCGGGTGCGGCGCGCCACAAGGATGAAATTCAAATGGATCCTCTCAGTCAGTCACCTGATGAGACGCAAACAAAGATTTGCTCTGGCCTCTGCAATCGACAAAATACCGCCAGAGACAACCAGCACATCGTACTGCCCTGCAGTGCTTAGCACACCCCTTTACTACCCTGTACAACCCTGTACTCTACATCTACTACTCTACTTCCTTATACTACTGCTAACCTGAACTACTGTGTACTGCCTAGAACTACATTCTACTGCACTGTGCTACCCTGTACTGCCTAGCACTATCCTGTTATCTCCTGTGCTCCCATGTACTGGCTATGCCTAGTGCTATCCTGTACTGTCCTGCACTGCTTAGTCCTACTCTCTACTACCCTATACTACCCTGTACTGTCTAGTGCTACCCTGTACTGTGTAGCACTACCCTTTACTGCCTAGTCCTACTCTTAACTGTCTAGAACTACCCTGTACTGGTCTGTACTGTCTAGTACTACCCTATACGTCCCCATGCTACTCTTAACTGTCTAGTACTACCCTGTACTGGTCTGTACTGTCTAGTACAACCCTGTACTTCCCCATGACACCCTTAACTTTCTAGTACTACCCTGCACTGGTCTGTACTGTCTAGTACAACTCTGTACTTTCCCATGACACCCTTCACTTTCTAGTACTACCCTGTACTGGTCTGTACTGTCTAGAACTACCCTGTACTGGTCTGTACTGTCTAGTACTACTCTGTACTTCCCTGTGCTACCCTGTTGTGTCTAATACTACCTTGTACTACCTTGTGCCACCCTCTACTGCCTAGTTCTATGCTGTACGTCCCTGTGCTACCCTGTACTGCCTAGTCCTAGCCTTAACTGTCTAATACTACCTTGTACTGCCCTGTACTGCCTAGTATTACCTGCACTTCCCCATGCTACCATATACTGCCTACAACAACCCTTTACTATCCTGCCCCATTTAGTCCTACACTCTACTACCCTGAACTACGAAGTACTGCCTGCCTATAACTACCCTGTACTTCCCTATACTTCTTTGTGTTACTATTCTCTTCTACACTACACTACTCTGTACTGGCTAATACTGCCCTCTACTACACTGCATTACCTTGTAATGCCTAGTAGCTACCCCGTACTAACATGTACCACCTAGCACCACTCTCTTCTACTGTCTGGTACTATACTGGACTGCCTTGGATTACCCTGTAATGCTTCGTACTACTCTGTACTTCCCTGTATTACCCACTACTGCTCTTTATTACCTCTTATTCTAAAGTACTACTGTGTACCCTGTACTAGCCTGTACTGCATATTATTATCCTGTACCACCTGGTGCTATCCAACACTGTACTGTACTAGTTTCCTGTACTGCCTAGTAGTTTCACATAGTGCTCCGACATACCTCATACTGCCCGTACTACACTGGACTGCCCCATCTCATACATACTCACCTGACCTACCCTGTACCACTCTGTCCTTTCCCTTACTGTTCTATTCCACCCCACACTGCCCGAATCATCTCAGATTACACTTGTGATCAAAGCTTTATCGAGAGCAGGGTCCACTGCACTGCTTTTTCCCTGCTCTAATGCACCTGACTCAGCTCAAAGGGCTTTAATAATATAGCTGACTAGTAGAATCAGACAAGTTAGAGCAAGGAAAACAAAGCTATGCCGTGAGTGGGATTCTGAGGGTTGGGACTGGGAACCACTGCTTTGCGATTTTTTTATGTTGTCAGTGTTCGGACAGCATGACGGACACACCAATCATCAGTGCAGCAAATGAGCTCAGCTAATTAACTCTGATTATCTATAATTATCACATGCATCTAGAAAGCCTGGGTGAGCAAATACGGCTGTATCCAAACAACGCTAACGATGGTGGGGGTTTGTGGGGGGTCCAGATCAGGCCATCTCGCTGTGTTAGGGCTGCTGAGTGTCTGACAGTGATGGAAATGCTGATTAGCTGCAGCCTGCAGTCTGACACCCCACCGTCCTCTACGACTGCAGGCTTTAGTGGGTTATGAGCAGAATTTCAGTCGTTTCAGTCACTTTATTAGAAACATCTACCCTGTACTTCCACTCACTGGCTGCTTTATTAGAACCCCCTACCTAGGCTACTACTGCCAAGGCAGCTTAACTGCCACATTTACCAAAGCTTATTAGTTTGCAGGGGGTATTTTGGTGAATTTGTGTGTGTTATTTTAGACTGCATGTGGCATAATTCATATTTTATCTCATTACTGTCCTTGTTATTCAGAGGATATGGTAACGTTTGGGGAGGCGTGTATGTACACCAAAATGTATCAGGTTTGGAACATTTTTACTACAGGGCACAATAGCAGCAATTTTAGACATATGTTTTTCTCCATAGACCTACAATTTCTAATATGGACATCGAGTTGATAACAGAATGATGACACAACTTCAGGGGTCTATAATTTGTTTGGAATCTGGAATGGAGCTAAAGATGATTGCGTACTAACTGTGTGGTCAAATTCTGAAAACTTGAAAAGAAATTACAGTAATTATTGGAATATTGTTTGTCATTGAATACATTTTTGTTGCCCGCCCCAAAACAAAGAAAAAAGAAAGAAAAACTAAAATATACAAATGATCTTAAATGATCTTTTGCTGTTTACACTGTAATAGTTAGGTTACTATTCAGTAAAATAACAATAATTGATAGGACATTTAAATTCTAAATGCTAGTATATGAATCTATCTACTGAAATCCTTCAAAGTTAAAGTTTAAAAAAATTCTGTTTATTTTATTAAAACATATTGAGCATTCTAATTTGCTGAAACAATACTACTGAAACACAGATTCTCTGCAATTAAGTGAACGTTTTTGTGTTTTAATAAAAAATGATGATTTTGTGTACAGCTGGTTGCTAGTTATGTACTGGCTAGCGTTTAAATTGTCACTACCGATACAGTCATTACTGAAGCATTTGGTAAAGTTTCAGTAGTGCCTGACAATTCTTAATGTTCTACACTGATTTTCAGACTTTTGGGAAACAGAGATGCAGTCTCACTTCCTGCCATAAAATGCAGGGGTGTGGTTAGAATAAGGCTCCGCCTACAGACAAAAAATGTATTTTGGTAATGACAAGAAAATGTAGGACAGCATTTTTGTTTAATATTTTTATTTTTGAATATTTAATTTTTATTTAATTCATGACAAATATTTCAACGTCACGTTAAAACAAAAATACGTAAAAAAAAAATAATAAAATTGAGAAAAAGTGTAAGCATTATTTTAAGAAGTGTAAATTTAGGGCTTAGGGTTTGGGACAGACAGTTCCCAATAGAAAGCACCCTATAAATGATGATTTTGTATATATTAAGCTTATTACTTTCTCAATTAATGCCTTGGGTTTAAATAGATAACATAACCCTTGTAAATGTCTAAGCTCTAAATACCTTGTTGTTTTTTTAAGTAGTTTCTTTACAGTAGTACTGCAGTCTTAACTACTTAAGGTAGATTGATCTATATATGAATAATTAACAAAGTGCAATTAATCTGTTGCTGCTTATCCCCCCCCCCCACCACCACCACCTTTAAAAATTAAAAATTAAAAATTGGTCTATTTCTGACCACAGACCAGATATTATTGTTAGTATACCAACCGCCTCAGCAAGGTGGAGCTACAAGGGATGGGTTTCTGATAAAGTGGCCAGTGACTGTTATTCTCTTTGCTCTAATAGACTTTTATTATGTGTTTGCAGCAGTGATGAATGTTGTTTGTGATTTGTGCAGCCATGTGATCCAAACACAGTGAGGATGAGGACCAGACACATGCTCCGCCCCCCTGCTGTTGATGCCGTGTGTCCAGAGAATAACCAGACCGAGCCGTGTGTCGCTAACAGCAACTGCTTCACCTTCCAGTACAACGTCTCAGGTACAGTCACTAAATGCTTTCACTGATAACTGACATTACACAGTGTGCCGTTCCGTGTAACCCTGTAATGACCCCCCTGGACAGGGCTTTATTTGTAAATGACCAGGTGCTGGAACACTGAGTGGTGATGGACCCTGCAGGGCGATGGGCGGGGCAGTACCAGGACAAAATAAAATGTGTTAAAAAGGTGCATCAGGCAGCTCGAGGTTTTCCCATGAAGCTGCAGTGAAACTAGACTTTTGCAGTTTGTATCGCCTTGAGAAATGGCTGTGACCGAGGATGGAAGATGGCAAATGAAAAAGCTCCTTCATGTTGGTCACTAATGATAAACAGTAATAATACAAAAGTGAATTTTATTATATCAGATAATTACAGTTACACTTGAGGGACTACAGTGCTGCACTCTGAGCTGTGTAGATGGCGTGGTTGGCAGCCAAAGAGGTAACCTAGCATTTATCAAGCCAGCTAACTCACCTACCACAAACAGTAAAAACACAAACATGAACATAATTAGATATTCATTATAGCACAGTGTGCAAATATTCACCACAGCTCACTGATCTGTAGCAAGAAAGTGTAGATAAAATTTTCATTTTATTAAAATGAGTGATTGAACATTCCATTTTGTCACTACCAAAACAATCTTAATCTACTGAAACGTTACTAAATGTGTCAGTAGTGACTGTTTCACTGACAATTTTAGCTCATTAGCTCAGAAACTCAGCCAGTTCATGACCAGCAAACACAGCTCTGAACAGCTGTTCACACAGAAAATCATTATTTTTTTAATATTAAAACACAAATAAGTTCACTTAACTGCAGAAGATCTGTGTTTCATTAGTGACGGTTCTTAATGTTCCACACAGATTGACTTTGGGACACAGGGATCCAGTCTCACTTGCTGCTCTAAAATGCAGGGGTGTGGCTAAACTTTTTTCAGTGATGACAAGAAAATGTAGGACGGCATTTTTTTACATTTTGATTTTTTTTGTTATTTCAACATCAACACTGAGGGAAAAATGGATGCATTATTTTCAGAAGTGCAAATTCAGGGGTTAGATAACTGATGTGGTTGGCGACAGCTGGGTGACTTGTGTGCATCTGCAGTTAGCCATGAAGCTAACATAGCCGTTAGCAAGCTGGCTAACTCGTCTAAAACTACAAAACTAATAGTTTGATACAGTCTCCCGATGGATTGTGTGTCGTACAGTCTCTTTTTATGTTTATTTACAGTCAGTGGGAAATAAATGTTTAGCTTTTTCTCTGTTTTGGAGGTTCAGTGCTGCAGTATGAAGCCCCACCTGTTCTGGATCAGGATCCCGTTTGCTCTGGCACACATTAATCCCAGCCCCCAGGATTCCTCATTGCAAAGCCTCATCATATATTTAATTCAATTACAACCAGTGTTATTTATTGATTTTCAAATTTTCAGTTTGTGCTGGGAAAAAAAGATAAACTGTACCAATTAAAAATTTTGACACATCTGACTGAATATATGTTTTATTAATCTATTGACCTTCTAGTTTTAGTTTAAGACTTATGTTGTAAGTAGGGGAAACTTCAAATGATGATCGTGATGCCGGTGGCTTAAAGCAATAGTTTGGCAAACATTTACCCAGTTTTTCCACTCTATTAAAATGTAGTTGTTTGGTGTCTGAAGTTCGCTCCCTCAGTTTTACGGCTAAAGTCGCCGTATTTATTTTTGTTTAAAGTAGATTTTTTGGGCCAAACTTGCTTCAAATGCAATACAAACAGTAAGATTGATAGCTCTCCTTGCACTTCCCCATCAAACAGAGCAGGTTCAGGAGCTCCATCATATCTGTAGATACAGTCTGAGTTACTGCAGTTGGACATAATAAAGGTGGCTGAGTGGAGACGAGAGGAGAGTGATAAAAATATTCCCCATCGACCTGCTGAGGAGAGCACTGATCTAACCCACTCTGAAATCCGCTCTGTAGGCCATTACTGCGTCACTGAGCTGGTCCAGTGTAAGACTCCAGCATCAGCTGGGTGTCTTAATCTCTAGATCGTAATGTTTAAAGCAGTTGGCAGAGCTATCAGCTCCTGTACAGAGTAGAACAGACCAAGGACAGATGGCCTATCAGACTCTATCACTTTAACCTTCAGTGGCTCTTTCACTCTCTCTGTGTGTGCGTTTGTGTGTTTGTCCCTTATATATTATATATGTACTGCACTTTATTATTATTACGTACAAATAATATATATATATATATATATATATATATATATATATATATATATATATATATATATATATATATAAAAAATAAGTATTATATAGCTACAAATCTTAATATTAATAATAATACATTGTGTATATATATATATATATATATATATATATGAATCACATTGTATTATATAGGTATTTACATGTATATAATACATATGAATTATATTATTATTACATTATATTGGTACTTGCATCTATATCATGCATATAAGACATCATTATTAAAGGGGTGTGTGTGTACACATACATATATATATAGCGTATAATATATTATGTAGCCATATAATACTTATTATTATTATTATTTTTATTAAATATTCTTCTAATATGTCCTTGTGTGGTATGAAATCAGCCCTCTGTGTCTGCCTGTGTGTTCCCCAGGCTGGAGTAGCTGCATGCTGAGTGAGAGCGCGGTGTGCGGAGAGGGTCGGAGGACACGGCTGCTGGACTGCACACGCAGCGACGGCCGAGTTCTGGACCTGAGTGTGTGTGAAGAGGTAACCATTAACGTCCACTCTACAGACCATTACACACCACGCCACTGAATTACGCCCTTCAATTGCATGTACTTCAAATCAGCCATGACCAGCTATTAACCCCCCACTGCGCCCACAGCCCAGACGCTTTCACTGTGGCGCTTAGTGAAGAGCCCACACTAATAGACCCTGAACTCTAATCACCAGTTCATGAGCTGCAGGTCATAGAGGGTCAATGACTTTAACCCTAGAAGCAGCAGTTATGGCTGGAGATAAGAGTCATGCTGTAGTTTTTCGTGAATTAATTCAGACTCATAGTTTGAAACAAATGGAGAAACTGCGGATTTTAAACTTTCAATCCAGACCACATTTGGGTTTGTAGAAGAAGTAGAAAAGGAGATATTATATTATCTTTTGAATTTGAAACTTTGAGACTCTTTGGTGCAGAAATTAAACTGAATTTAATCTTTTTCGTTCTGGACGGTCAAACTTTTTAGTTTGGTCTAAATCAAAATAGCAGGTGTGAAAGGTGCCTCGGACCACAGTCCAGACCAAAGAACCACAGTTTTCTCCAACCAAAAGAGGTGTTCTCGGTCCAGATCAGACTGAACCATGGTTTGGTTCGTTTGCACTGCGAAAACAACTTTTTTGGATGGTTCAGACTTTCGGACCAATTACTGGAAGTTAAGGCAGACTATCATCACCCATTAAACAATAGAAGAAGAAAAGAACCGTGAGGGAAGTAAAATGAGCCGTGGTAGCTCACGGTGAGAGAGGACGGAATGTTTAACTGTTATTTGGTCCAATGAAAAAGTCAAAAGTCAACTCCTCTACAAACCAATCAGTGTCCAGTACAGGGAGACACAGCCCACATAGGTGATGACGAAGTTCTTTAGTGCCTCACTAAACCACAGTGTGAAATCAGAACTAACTGATTAACCAAATATATATTTGTAACAAAAACTTGAACCATGATTCAGACTTTAAGAATTTCAGGTGTGAAAACACCTTTTTTATTTAACTGTGTGACGTAGGTGACCAGTATCACCAGCAGTCTTCCAACATGCCTTCTTTCTCCACCACCTCTGAGGATTCTGGGTTGAAGGCTGTCAGTCATTGGTATATAATCATTGAGAGTCAACCACAAATCTGGGAGATATATATAAATAATTACTGTGGTATTTTCTTCAAGAAATCAAGATTATTGATTATATTTTTCCCGCTGGTCTCCACAACTACACACACACACATGCACACAATCTGCTGCAACATCTGCTTTCCTTAGCTTATATGTTTTTTGATTTAATGAAAATCTTTAATGAAAATCATTATAATTATAACCATTTTTAATAATATAATAGCAATTAAATACAGTTTCATAATAAACTATTTCACCTCTCGCTTTGAAAGTTGTTGCTGTAAACATGTGTGTTGATGAGCTCCTGCTGGTTTGGGTTCATGACTGTTTCTTTTCTCTAAATGATGCACACAAAAGCAGCTTGTGTGTAATAGCGCCCCCTTCTGGAGAAACGTCTGAGTTTCATATCACATCCAAAACAAGGAGTTTTCTGTCTTTACAGAAAAGACGTTCTGAAACTCAGTTGTTCTTAATTATTACATTTTTTTTCACAACTTTACAACTCGTCACAAAACGTAAGGTGTCCCAAAAATTAGAAGTTTTCTCAGTGGGGAGTTTATTGTACCATAGCTTAATGGCTTATTAATGCCCATAATCATCCACTGTTTTAACAGTAAAAGTGAAAGAAATATTAAATGTACACATTTTTTTGTGAACTATTTTTTTATTTTCAATGCTAAAAAGAGCAATGACAACACAGATATAATAAATGCTCTCCCCCCTCGAACTCCCTCCCACCAACCCACCCACCCACCAAAAGTACACATTTTTAAATATCGTTTAGGGCTGTTTAAAATTAAGTGTCCTCGTTTACAATGTGCCGATTTTCAACTTTGACGCATCGCCAACAGGTTACTTGTCAATCATCATCGACATCCTATTACATCACACAGGCCTAGTCAACTACTGAAGGACACTGTCCTAACATTAGCTAGGCTAGTTACTAATAGCATAGAAGAAATAGTAGCAAGTTAAATAAAAAAATCTATCCAAGTTAATTTGCTAAAATCATTTGCCAAAAGAAGAAAAGGTGCTAAAGCAGCTTCAGCAACTCATGCTAAAATATTTTTTCCTTAAAATCGAATGGTGTCGCTCTTTATTTATGTAATTACATACAAGTAATTATGTAATGGAAATGAAACATATAAGAAAACAGCAGTTAAAACTGTTTATGTCCACTCTGCTGTTTCAGCTCGGACTGCCTCAGCCGTGGAGTCTCAGTGCGTCCTGCCAGGTGGACTGCCCGGTCAGCTGTGTGCTCTCGGAGTGGTCACCATGGACGGAATGCTCGCACACCTGTGGAAATCAAGGTAGGAGCTGAACTCAACTCTGTGGACTGGTTCTTTGGTTATAATCCCTCAATGAGCTGCATCTGAATACCTGAGAGTATAATGTGATGAGTGATAATCGTGCAGAAAAACAAATGATTTTAATGATGATATCATAATTTTCCACATTAACCCAAAGAGCAGACAAGCAGTAAGACTGAGAGTGACAGTCATTTTATTTATAATTTGTAATTTTATTTATTTTATTTCTCTACATCTAACGTGGCACTTAGATCACAATTAAGATTTGATAGATTGAAGATTGATATTGACTTTAATCTGGATTCAGACAGATTCATATGTTGCAACATACTCTTACACATAAGCCTTCAGGTGGGCTTCCTGGTATGGAAGACCACTCCTGCCAGGGAGAGGAGAAAATTAATCAGCCATGTTTTAGTCTTCTTCTTGTTTCTGGGAGCAGCATGTCGATATTTTGATTTAATATCTCAGAATAATGACTTATTTTCTCTAAATTCCAGCTCATGTGTCAAAATAATGACTTATTAACTCAGGTTTTTTAGTTAAGGTCAAAAATAATGATGTCATTATTCTGACATAGTAATTCAAAACTTCGAGAAAATTAGTAATTATTTTTGACATGGTAAATTTATAATAAAATAAATAAATAAATAAGTCATTATTTTGACACAGTAAGCTGGAATTTCAAGTAATTAGTAATAATAATAATAAGAAGAAGAATTAACTAACAGTAATTTACAACAATAGATTTAATGACCAATAATTAAATGGTTCTGTGCATGGTGAAATGGTTCTTTAGACCAGTGGAGAATGTTCTATATATGGTTCTATATATAGAACTATAGAGAATGTATTGTAACAGTTCTAGGGTAAAGAAAATGGTTCATTATAGAAGTATAGGCACTCAAATAACCCTTCGCATGATTTATGGGTTCTTTGCATGGTGAAAGTGTTCTTCAGGTGGATGGAGAATGTGCCATAGATGGTTCTGTATAGAACCTTTTTTAAAATGATTCTGTATAGCACCAAAAAGTGTTCTTCTATTGTTGCAATGTCTAGCTTGTAACAGTAGAGGAACCCTTTTTGGTGCTATATAGAACAGTATACCCCATATTCTGCATTATTTCACCATGCAAAGAACCACTTAAGCATGAAAATGGTTTTATGTAGAGCTCATGGTTATAAATAGAGCCACTGCCTTTACCAAAGAACCCTTGAAGAACTTTTTTTTTTACTGTGCATTTACATTAAGTGAAGTGCTAAAGATGAAAGACAATGGACAAGACGAGTGGAAAATAAAATAAGGATTTATAAGAAATAAAAGCAGTGCTGAGATAAAGTGCAGAGCTAAACAAAGGCATGAGAAAATAAGAACCTTATTACATATTCAGTAACTACAGGGACTTCAGTGCAAACTGGTTGAGCTGGTCTTAGCTTATAGAAGTGTGTAATTAACTTTGGGCCTGCTAGCGACCCTGGCCACTTATCTGGACTTGGAAGTGGCTACATGTGGAGTATATCTGACCTCATCTAGAAGTTCGTTCAGCATTATGACTAAATGTGGCCTCACCGGAGCTGGTTTATGAGGAGTCTGGCCTCTTCCTGTTTCCCACATTATATCAAAAAACAGGAGTACAAAAAGCCAGAGGGCGCTCACGAGCGAGTCCTCAATGAATGGAGTTAATGGAACTAAACAGCAAAAAGCTAAAAGTTAAAATAGTTTCTAATCACTCGTCCAGAACTTTCCTTTAGTTTTCGAGAGTAGAAGTTTGTATTTCACTAAAACAAACAATGAAAACTCACCTGTATGTTTCCTTTTTCAACAGTAAACGGGTTTTGGGCAGCAGGATGCTAACATTACTGCTACTGAGTGCTGATTGGTTGGCATTGCTGCTACTGAGTGCTGATTGGTTAGCATTACTGCTACGTCATTAATATACATGAGGCGTCGTTTTAATCTCCTATAACTCGAGTTTAAAAGCTCTTAAAAATATAACAGCAGTGTTAAAATGTTTTATGCTGTTCAGTGTTCAGGAAATGAATGTATAATTTTACATTAATAATGTTTAAGCATTTATGAACTATGATTATGCTCAAATGCTGCATATTAACCCATTAATTTTGGACTAAATCGGGAGCGCCCTCTAGTGTTTAAGAAACCGCAAAGACATTATAGAGTGGGAATTCTCCTCTCTACAAGTTCTCTCGCCTCACCCTGTTGGTTCTGATTCTGGGCACTACTGACTGACCGGTCCTGAGTGAACGGACAAAGTGAAAGGATGGTTTTGCAAATCAAATTCAGATCATAATAAAATATCTCCTCTTCTACTGACTTACACTGATGTTGTACGGCTTGTAAGTTTAGAATCTGCACTTTCCACACGGATTCTCCACTAATTGCGGTGAACTATGAGTCAGAAATGATTCATATGCAATCACAGCAGTAATCTGTAACAATAACTGTGTTTTCTATAGGTTAATATTGCCTCACTGAATGTTCCGGATTCATATTCAGCCTGTTTCTGCAGACGACGGTGGTTTTTGGTGTGTAATTCCACCTCACGTGTAAACGGCGAGCACTCCTGAGTGGGCAGGATGTGGGCTTTCCTGCCTCAGGATATAAAACTCCCCCTCCATTAACACTCAACAAAGAAATCCTGTTTAATTATTAACATCATACTGTAAATCACATTTAGGGGTTACAGGTTAACGATCGCAGGCTGAGCCAACTTTTCCCTGAACAGGCTGAGTGATTTATCAGTCAGAGGGACAGGTTTCTGTACAGCGTCAGGACCGATAGTCTTGACTCTCAGACTGGAGGGATGTGTTTGTGTTCGGTCGCACGGAGAGACGTTACTGCTTCATACAGTAACAACCACGAGAAATATTCACTCAGAACTGACCGACTCCACAGGAGCTAATAAACCAATTATAAACATTCAGAGAGAGAGAGAGAGAGAGAGAGAGAGAGAGAGAGAGAGAGAGAGAGAGAGAGAGTAGTCCAGTATGTGAGGGGCGGTTTGGGGTGAAACACACCAACGCTTGTACATGACTGTCTGAATGATTGTACACAGACTGCAGTCACTGGTGTTTTCAGTGTATCATTTCATCACTCTCTCTCTCTCTCTCCCTCTCTGTCTCTTTCTCTCTCTCTCTCCCTCTCTCTCTCTCTGTCTCTTTTTCTCACTTTGTATTTCTCTCTCCCTCTGTCTCTTTTGTCCTCTTTCGCTGTTCCTCTCTGTATGTCTGTCTTTCGCTCTCTCTCTCTATCTCTCTCTCTCTCTCTGTCTATCTCTGTCTCTCTTTTGCTCTTTCTCTCTTCCTCTGTCTCTCTGTCTCTTTCACTCTGTTACTCTCTCTCTCTATGTATCTCTTTCTGTCCCTGTGTTTCTTTTTCTCACTTTCTATCTCTTTCACTTTTCTTTCTCTCTCTCTCACTGTCTCAGTTTGTCATCCTATATCTGCTCTCTCTCTCTCTCTTTCTCTCTCTCTCAGATTACTCTGTGATCTCTCTCCAGTTATTTTTATATGTCTCTCTTTATGATGTTTTATAGTTCTGCTTGTGTGCATTCAATCTCTCTCTCTCCTCTATCTCTCTATCTCTCTTTCTCATTCACTCCCTGTCCTCTATCTCTATCTCTCTCTCAATCTCATTCCCTCTCTCTTCCTCATTCTCTCTCTCGCTCTTCCCTCTCTCTTCCTCATTCTCTCTCTCGCACTTTCCTCTCTCTTCCTTATTCTCTCTCTCGCTCTTCTCTCTCTCTTCATCTCTCTCTCTCTCAGTGGTTTAGTGGCTGTCTGATCTCCTCCTGCTTTATTGAATGATGCCACTTCAAGCAGCTGACTGACGAGTCTAGAACATGAGCGCAGTGCTGAGTGCATTCGTTCATCTCCCTCCATTCATCTCCCACTGCTTATTTCCACATTGTTTCAAAAGAGCAGCTGGCTGAGTGACAAAATACAATTGGGCCACTGACTAAAATTGCCTTTCATGTCATGCTAATGACGTGTGTTTATAGACCTACTCAGAGATGGGTAGTAATTAGTTACATTTACTCAATACATGTACTTCAGTAAAACATTAATGGGTTTGTATTCTTACTATTTTTACTTTTACTTCTACTAAAGTATATTAGTGAGCAAAGGAATCTTTTTACTCTGCAGTTTTAGCCATTCATATTTAGTTACTGATTCCTTTTTTGTGTTGAATATGTTTTGATGGTGGTCATATTTGTACTGCTTTGTGATTGGTTACATCTCTGACTTTGGAGCTTCTGTATTTTAGAGCAAAAGAATCCCAAAAAGAGAAAAACAGAGCTGCACAGTCTTCAGTTCCTATGCTTAAAAATGCTGGACGTACTTAGAAGTTCCACTGCAGTGCTTAATTATTTTATGCAAGTATCAATACTTTTGATTAGTATTGATTTAGGCTCCTCTACCCACCTCTGAACCTGATCATGAACAGTGTGGGTGTTAGTTTTGATGCTGCTTCAGTAGCTGCAGCCTCGGATAGCCGTGTTTGTTGACCAACATCTCTGAAGAACATCAGGCTGTTTTCATACCCAGTTCATTTTCTAAAGACCCACCACAGTTTGCTTTGGAAAACCAGCTTTTTCTTAAATAAACAGTTGTAATGTGATGTAATATATGAACATTATTAAAATTTCAGAACATACTCTTCACTCCAGAGTCCGTTACAGTTTTTCTTTGAAAGTTGAGCTGCAAAAACAGCCCATTTTGAATTCCCTGTTTTTGTGATGTCACAAGTACAAACAAATTTACATACATCCACCTCTTCAGCCTTCAGCAGTTTAGCCTCACCTGCTCACAGTGAAGTTATAAGGAGTTTTTTACATCTGTACTGCTTTTTGAATGAGGCACAAAACAGGCCAATCAGAACAGTGTTCATTTACATATTAAATCATACATATTAGTAATAAATAAATAAAGGTGCACTAACAAAAGCTGCTTTATTGTAAGGCATTAAGAGAGGCTGGAAAATGGTTATTATGTCTGGTTTTTGTACACAAACCCACACAAACATTTTAAACGGGCCTTTAAGTGGAAAAATAATAATATTTAAGAAATCTGGAGGAAATGAACCCTTAAATTGATAAAGAAATTATAATTAATAATGTTTTAATTATAATTGATATAAGTTAAATAATAGAATTTAAGAAACCTGCAGGATATAGGTCCTTTAAGTGATGAACAAATTATGACAAATAATTAATTTATGAATTAAAATTGATATAAATTCAATAATAGCGTTTAAGAAAACTGCAGGATATGGGCCCTTTAAGTGTTAAATTATAATGAATCATTTATTTATTAATTATAATTGATCTAAATTAAATAACAGAGTTTAAGAAGTATGCAGGATATGGGCCCTTTAAATGGCCAAAGATGGGGCAGTTAATCTGTCCGGTTCTCCGCTAGACTGGGTTAAATGTGAGAACAACAGAAGTTCTTCTTTTCCTCCAGAGCTCGGGTTCTTCTCTCCTTTAACAGCGCTCCTCTGGAGCCTCTCTGATTATTACTCGCTCAGTTAAGCTCCATAATGGGAGTCTGCTCCTCCTCGCACTCCTCTTAAATACCATCGCCAGCGTCTGACAAACAAACCCAGCCGGAGCAGCTGCTCCTGAATACTAATGCTAATAACAGGCCGTATTTATTTACCGCTTTACATGCAGTTCAGATGCAGCAGAAAAGTGCTGCGCCAGCGTAATCAACACAAGCGTTTAAGGAGCTCTACAAAGACAAAGCAGCACAAAATACAGAGTTTAACGGTGCACCATGTTTGTAGAATCAGACACAGCAAGGTTAAAGTGATAGTCCAGCAAAAAAAAAAGAAAAATAATAACCCTCTAAGCTCTTCTTGCGTCAAATTGGATATTTCTATATATCATCATATGACAGTTACAGACAAATGTAAATGTATTCTTAATGTCTAATATCAAAATCAGATTTGTAAATGAGTTTTTTTGGAACAGATCAAATGCAGATAGAACCTTCTAATCCTGAGAACTCACTTTCTGCTTGGCGCTATACGGTTCTCTCCAGATTAGATAGATCTCATGTAGAGAAATATTAGATATATTGACGTTTGAGATGTTTTCACTTTGGTTTGCAGTTTCTGAAGTTTGGTTTCTTTAGTGTTTGCCCTGGAGCTGCGAGGCTAATGTAGCTAAGCTAGCGCTCTGTCCTTGTTCTGCCTGAGGAATCTGAGGCACCATCAGACTCTCTCTGGGGTTTCACTGCTGTTCTGTCCTACAGAGCCTGGTTGATTCCTGGCCTTGATTGTGGGCACAAACTGTCTCTGTAACGCTGGACGTTGTGTTTGCTGTGCAGGTGTGATGTCACGGTCTCGGCGTGTCCTGCAGGAGGCTCACGACGAGGGCCGGCCGTGTCCCTCTCAGCTCTCCCAGACTAAACCCTGTCCCATCAGGCCCTGCTACAGCTGGCTGCTCGGAGACTGGACGCCCTGCCACGTCGAGGTGACGTCACTCAGTCACTCACTTAGTCATTGTTCACTCAGTCATTAAGTCTTTCATTCACTCAGTCACTCATTCACTCAGTTGCTCAGTCTTTCATTCACTCTGTCACTCAGTCTTTTAATTACTCAGTCACAAAGTCTTTCATTCACTCATTCATTGATTCATTCAGTCTTTCATTCACTCAATGATTGTCTTTCATTCACTCAATCACTGTCTTTCATTCGCTCAGTCACTCATTCACTCGTTCATTGTCACTCATATGTTCATTCACTCAGTTTCATTCATTCATTCACATAGTCACTCAGTCACACATTCATTCAGTCACTCAGTCAATCATTTACTTGTTTGCTCATTCATTTAGTAACTCGTTTAATCACTCAGTTATGTAGTCTGGCTTAATTTAACAAGCTAAATTGGTCTCACTGCATACAGAGATAATCTACAGATTATTAATAATTATTAGGACTCTATCTCAGTTTATTCTTAACAGTGTTAGGGTTAGGATTAGGAGCTAGGGCTAGGATTAGGCTTTGATTTGAAGTTTAGAGTGAGTGTTAAATTTGGATTTTTTTTTGTTTTTTTAAGAATTTTTAGATTTCTACGTGACTAAATTAAAATATTTGTTCCACTATTTTCCATCATCAACATTCCATATAAACTCAGAAGACTCGTGTAGGTTCACTGGTGGTTCTGGACAGTAAATAAAATGTGTATATTTGTGTTCTGATTCCTCTCACCACCACTATATAGAAAGTCTGTAAGGTTTTCTACAACAAACCATTTCACCTGAAACAATTCTGTTTACCTCTCAATGACTGTATTTGCAGAATAGATATTTAGATATATAATGTCAGCGCCAGCATAGAACAAGACGCAGGAGAGGACATTATTCCTGCCACAAGAAGCGCTCTTTCGTTTACACCAGCGGAAAAGGCACATAAAATACAGGAACGATAGGGAAGGGCACTTCTAGCCATGCAACTCCAGCCATAACTACTTTTTTAAAGTTATTTGTCTAATTAAACATTTCTGAGGTGTTTCTGGGACAACGTGCAGTTTGTGTCTGTCACTACAGTGGAGTGAAGGTGAAATTGTGGCAAGAACAGCAATGTTACAAGCATAAACAGCACAGAGCTTCAGCAGACATGTGGCTTCATAATGACTCAGTGAAAAAGCTCAGTTGTTAGAGTTTAAATTTGTGCACATAAAATACAACCAGATGATGAACCATCAGTGAAACATCACTGTTTGCTTCTAACAGACGTGCTTAAACTGGTTTACATGTGTATAACTGTAGTCTGCCCTCGCTAGTGACTGAGCAAGTGGCAGAAATCTAACCACCAGCATAGACCAGCATATGTCGTGTTTTGATGCTGGTATGGTGATCAACCTGCGTGACTGGCGAACTATTATTTTAAAGACCATTTTACAGAAACTTCTTAAGTCTGAAGTCTTATCTGCTCAGTCACCATGACAACTTTTAGCTAGGACTGAATTTCGGACAGCAGCTGTTCCAGAATAACAGTTCCTACCTTCATAATCTCATCATCAACTCCAGATAAGAAAACAGCATCACACAAACATCCTAACTAGACTAAACCTCCTAAATCCTGTCCTAACTTTAGGATGAACCCCAACAGGGTCCTCACTTCTGTTTAAGGTCCGTTTCTATGGTTTTTAGGCAGCTGAGTCAGCAGCATAGTTCACTACCAGCATAATGAGCTCCATTTATTTCTACTGTAAAACGCTGCTTTCACTGTGAGATGATTTTCTTTTCTAACTCTGCTTTTTAAAGATCTCAGACACTGCAGACTCGATCTCCGTGTGTCTGTTTGTTAGGAGGAGTAACGTTAGCGCGCTCGGCTAAAGCGTTTGAGAAATGGAGACTGAAACTGGGGAGTGGCGACGCTCTGATAAACAGCAGGGGGCGCTCTCACAGCATTCACAGCTTACAGTTTATCACACTTTAGTCATATTTGACCTTTTTTCTTAATCAGTTGATTGTCCACTTCAATCTAGTAGGTTAAGATTTCCTAACTGGAGATAAGATGCTGTAAGATAAGATAAAATTCTTAAATTAAGATCAGATTTGCTTCTTTAATAGGAATTTGTAAAAAAAATCTTGACCTCTCAGATCTTAAGTTAAGACAAAAAGATTTTACGGCCCCTGAAGCTAAAGACGCTCCAAATAAAGAGTTTCCAGTGAGTTAACTGGGAATGAGTTCGCTTTTGTGGTAAAGGCTGATGAAAGAGTGTTTACTCCTCTTTCTCCGCGCTTGACCCCGGCTGGACAGAGGGATCGGGGTGAAATTAGTCGCATTTCACCTCGCCAGGTTGGAGTGGCTTTGGGAGTGTCCACCCTGCTGGCCTGGACACCAAGCTGGAGGAGTTTAATTGAATTTTGAAAAGGTGCTTTGTGGGTGAGAGAGGGACTTTGTGTCATTGAGACGTGAGCTCACTCCTGATGAGGCCCGTGTTTGGGAACTCCAGTCTCACGCTCAGAAAAGAAGCGCTCAGATTTCCATCTCTCTCGCCCCTCTTTTCTGCTCTCTCTCTCTCTCATTCTCTCTCGGTCGTCTAGGCTGGGTTTTTAATTGAATGTCTTGGGGTCTTTTGGACGTCCTCAGAGCCGCTCGTGCTTTCAAATTCAGCCCTTCTACCATCTGCACAAAAGAAGAAGAAGCCCCCCACCCCCACCCCCGCTCCCTTTTTTGTTGTTTGTTTCGCGATTTGTGTTCATGTTCGCTTTCAAGTCTGCGCATTATTACTCAGAAGCACCTTTGATGAATAAATCAGTGTTTTTATCTTTTTATAGCTCTGTTTGTCATCTAAGCATTAGCACTAAGAGCCTGGAGAAATCCTAACCTGATACATAATTAATTTTTTCTTGCAAATTCAGATCTGCCACAGCGAGCACCTCCGTCACTCCTGCTATGTGTAAATAGTAAACAGTGTGATTTGTCGCGGCGTTCCGAGTGAAATGAAAGGTGTGTTCGCTTAAAAATTTAGCATAAACTGCAGATGTGGACCTGCGCCCAGAACTGTTATTTCCCCTCAGCGCGAGACGAGCCACAGGGTTTTGTTCCGTTCTGAGATAACACAAGCATGTAAACGAAGCCACTTTGAGCTACACTAAATCAATTACAAGTCATGGTGCTCTATACGCTGGATTATTATAGTTCTGCACCTCCAAATAGGCAGACATGCCTGGTCATGTGTGTGCATGTGAAGCCATAGTTGTCTGCCAGCATATTCAATGTCTGTGTTTACATGCAAAGATTTTTGCCAATCCAATTAATACATTCTGATTATAGACTGAGGTGTTTTTATTCTCACTCTACTCAACAAACTGATGGGAAACCTCCATTTACATGCAAACTACAAGTAATCCGATCCAACCGAGCATCGCATGAGTCCACTGAGTGTGAGACGAGCAGCAGTGAGTTACCTACGTTTTCAGTTGCCGCACTTGTGGACTTTGCACTAACCGTGTCTGGTTTGCTGCAGGGTGCTGAATGTGGTGAAGGTGTGAGAGAGAGGAACATGTCCTGTGTGATTCACTGGGGTCACTGGCCCGATTCACCCGGCCCAAGACCCAACCGCCCTGGCCCAGCTACTGCGGTGGAGGAGGAGAAGTGTGGCGAACGCCTAAGGAGAGAAAGTGAGCAGGAGCTGCAGCAGCCATGCTTTGTCCCCTGTCCAGGTATGCTAAAACTCTGTTGCCCAGGCACATCAATGCTGTTGCCCAACCCTTCCAACATGCCCAGGTTCTCTAATGCTAAAGCCTAACCCTTCATACCTAACCAGGTACGCTAGCACTACTAGCACAACTGCTACTGTCCATCCCTGCCTAGGTACAATATAGTTACTGTCCAACCCCTCCAACCTGTCCAGGTACATTAACATTACTTTCAAACTAATTTCTACCTGCCTAGGTGCACTAACACTACTGCCCAACCCTTCCTACCTGCCTAAGTATGCTAACTCTATTGCCCAACCCAATCCTACCTGACCAGGTATACTAAGGCAATGGTCAACACCTTCCTACCTGCCCAGGTATGCTAATGCTACTGCTCATGTCTTTCTACCTGCCCAGGTACGCTAGCACTACTAATCAACCCTTCCTATCTGCCCAGGTAATTCTAACACCACTGCCCAGGTACACTAATGCTTTCTTGCCTGCCCAGGTACACTAACACTACTGCCCAGCATCTTCCTATCTGCCCAGGTATAACAACACCACTACTGCTAAAACCGCTGCCCAGGTACAATAATGCTTTCTTACCTGCCCAGGTACACTAATGCTACTGCCCATGCCTTCCTACCTGCCCAGGTATGCTAACACTACTACCCAGGATCTTCCTACCTGCACAAGTATAACAACATTACTGCCCAATCATTCCTACCTGCCCAGGCATGCTAATACTACCTGGCATCTTCTTACCAGGTATAACAACACTATTTCCCATCCCTTTCTTACCTCCCCAGGTTCATTAACATTACTGCCCAAATCTTCCTTCCTGCCCAGGTATGCTAAAACTACTGCTTAAACCTTTCTTATCTTCCCAGGTGCGTTACACCCCTTCCAGATGCTATGGCCCATCCCTTCCTCTGCCCCACGAGTACTTAAATCAATATTTCAGTTCAGATCAGGAAAAAAAAGTGGAGGAAGATTGTTTTATGTTGCTGTTGTTGTTTTGTTATGAGAATAACTGCGTGACTCCCAGAGAGATAGAGAAATCAATCTGGAGTATTTCAACAGAACCAGCCTGGTGCAGTTTGGGAAATACAACACGGATACGGTTAGTTTGTCCGAAGACCGTGGAGAGTCATGGTTTATATGGCTTTGTCTTGTAGCGCTTTGTTAAATGTTTGCCTATTGTGGCTCTGCGTTCCCGGCTCTATTTCAGAAATCTTAAGTGCATCAGCTCTCAGTGCTGCTCCTCTCACTGCCCAAGCACAAAGCCCTGCACTCGGGGGAGCGGCGTTCTCTCGGCAGGGGCAGGGAATCTGGGAGAACGAGAGAGAGCGAGAGAGAGAGAGGACATATAAGAGAAAAAGATCAAGCAAATGTAAGAGTGAGAGAGACACAAAAGGACGAGAGGGAGAGAAAAAAGTGAGACGTGGAGAAATTAAGTGGGAGAGTGACGAAATGATCAAAAAAAGGGTGAATGTGGAGCTCCACCAGCTCTAGTGAGGGTGAAAACAGTCTGGCCTCATGAAGATGGAGGGTAATGAAAAGCCTGAGTGCACAGATTGTGTCTAATAGCCGGCCTTGCTGCTGAAGCAAAGGCATGAGCTGAGTGGCTGTAAAGAGTTTGGTGGGGTGCCTTTCTTTCACTGCTGTTCTCTGAGGATTACCAGGGCATTGATGTATGTGACCTTCAGCGGAGAAAGTCCTGAATGTATCCACACTTGGGCATAATGCCTTCTATCGCTTGTTAGAAGGTTAAGGTCATTCGGAGAATAGTGACCTGATTGCTATATAATTGCATGGGAAACTGCAACGTCTTCACCCTGGAGTCTTTATATGGCCTTTATATGCTTACACACCCAGGCCACTTTATTAGAAACACCTAGCTATCTTCACATTGGAGGCCTATTATGGCATTTATATGCTTACCCATACATTGTGTCCAAATTCATCCAGTGTTTACTCTGAAATTAAGGGTATTTAAAGAATAGTTGAATAAGTAATTTTTAAAGAAATAAAGTGCTAAAATGGTAATCTGGTATACTGCGGTTTAAGCTACAGACATGATCCGCATATCAGACCATTCAGTTGACCCGGCCGTCATTTGCTAGTGTGATGTCATCGAGCTGTGACGTCAGCATAAATGAATAATCTGGCTCGGAAAATTACCCAACATCCTGATGTCATGCTCTGTTTTTTGGCCTTCATATTCCAACAAAGTGTTAAAACAGCAACATGATTTACACTCATCAGGTCACTCATCAGAATCTACCCTCACCATCCAGAGTGACCATCTATCAGCCAGCAATCCAACTCCAAAGCAATCCAGCTCTCACGCTCTACAACCCAGAAATACAGCACAAACACACAGCCAGATCACTGTAAAACCTGCTATTATCTCTGCTTTAGCCTTCATATGGCAACAAAAGGGTTAAACACACACAGGAACGTTATTGCTAGCTCTCAATGTTCTGATCATGTGATGCAGTCCCTCCTCAGAGCCGAGCTTATAAACAGTCATTACAGCCACAGCACGGCAGAAGGAGGAGCAGACAGAGAACTTTTCTCCCCCAAAAAGGTGAAAACTTGTGTATTATCCAGCATGGAGGAGGAAAAAGATGCATGAATATGTGTATGTTTGAAGTCACAAACTGCCTATGGTTTTATTTAACAAGCAGCTCAGCAGACTGCTAATAGACTAACAGGTAAATTCAGTAATATTCAGAGTTGGGCTTTATGTTTATTTATGTAAATATTTAAAAACTGGAACATCTGAAGTAAAAAAAAGTTACCTGGATGACTGTTACAAAGCTTTAGTTGTCCAAAGTCTGTGTAGTACTGGAGAAAAACTCCACAGTCTTTAGCTTGATGCTAACATACATGGGAAAATCTCACAGTCCTGCTAGCAGAAATTAGCATTCTGCTTGTTATTTTCTTGATAAACATAGGTTGCTATTAAAGTAAAGGTTTGTACATTGAGCTCTTTTATACAATGACTGCTATGGCATGGTTCTTATGATTTTATGATATAGTGCCATATATGGCCCTTATGTTGATAAAGTACAGGAACTAATAATATGTTCCATGCTATATTTCCTGTTGGAGCAGCTTCACAGCTCTTAGTTAAAGTCTCAGATGCTCTATGGCTGTCCACAGTGTCTAAAATACCCCCAGGTATTGGGGGGTCCCATGTTGTCTGGCTGCTAACTCACTCACCATAGTGGTGCTAGTTTAATTGCAACAATATGTTTGTTTTACCAGTTGTTCTCCTGTAAAGTGCAGTTCTGCGCTCTTCCTCTCATTAACTGAGATCTTCCTCGTCTCCTCTTCTGTCTTCAGTGTGAGAAATGAGGAACAGTCACTCTTCACTCCAAACTCTTGGGAAACGGGGCGAGTTTTCAGATTTACAGATCTGCTGCAGCTCATTGTAAAGTGTTTCAGAGGAATCCGGGCAGAGTTACAGTTTCTAGGCTATGAAGGACCAACTGGGTGAACCAGTCAGCTACAGCGCCACCCTGAGGCAGAGCAGTGCTGCAGCTCTAGTTAGTTAAGAACACCAAAGACAAAAGCTGATTGTGGGTGAAGCAGATAAACAATGAGCTTCAGTGAATCTGGATTTGAGGGTCTATTTTTAACAGACAGCATAACGTCAGAAGTTTATTTTCTGGGACCCCTCAAAATTAGTATTTTTTGACATTCAGGGGGTCCAAGAGGGCAATTAGGGGGTGCCAAACCCCCAGGCCCCGTATATTTCCTACCTTGGCTGTCCAGTCCTGACAGCTCATGGTCCTATACACAGTGAGCATCATTATGTGGACAGTTTTTATAAATATTGCACATGAATACTGCTATTAAAAAAGACACATTTTTATAAGATAAATGTCTTTACTTGTATTTCAGTGTCATGAAAATACCTTAAACCATGATAAAATGTTAGATAATTATTATTATTTTTTTTTTAATACCAGAACATGTCTGGACTGTATGGATCCTATGAAGCATAAACCTTTCTCGTGATTTATTTACTAGTCTTTGTAGCCATACATAAAGCTAAACATTAAAAATTGTCATTTATTGTTGCTGCAGGTGACTGTCACTTGACCGAGTGGTCGTTGTGGAGCTCGTGCCAGCTGACCTGTCTGGAGGGCCGCAGTTTTGAGTCAGTGGGTCAGCAGGCGCGATCGCGGGCCGTGGTCATCCAGGCCCTGGAGAACCAGGACAGCTGCCCAAGCCAGGTGTTTGAAACACGACCCTGTAAAGGTACTGAACACCAGGGAGAACCTTACTGCAGAGTGAAGTGTTTTAGTTTTACTATTAGAGAGTCTGGAGTTTTATTGGCTGTTTATTGTGTATTAAATTGACATTACATCATTCTTTATATGTCATATAAAATTGCATAATAAATTACGTGTTAACCCAAAGAATTAAATTTATGTTCCATTTGCATTTTGTACTGACAGGCTTTCTGGCTTAAGTAGTAACACTTTATTTAAAGAAACACTAAAGAGCTCATTCATTATGGACCATATCAGTACCTAATTTTCAGGTCTGTTATGTGATTATTATTTGTGATAATGCACAACAAACACTTTGTTAATACACTGTTATGCAAATTGAGCATGAAGTAATCATCATAATTCAGATTTTAATTACATTTAAGTCTTATTAATGTATAATGGGCAACATTTGATTTCTGTAACTTCTAGGTAGTGTCAGGTTGTCTTATTTTGGTTTATTATTAAAGAGTTAATAAAAGTTTAATAGGTCACTAATATGATAGGATTTGTTTTGTTCATGATTAGTTAAAAATCACTAAAAGTTTCACCAAATCAATTTGTGTACATTAATTTAAAAGAATAATTTCATGACTTTTGGTGGTGAAAATCATGAATATTTTATATCTGATTTGTGATCCAAACTGTCTTTTTTGCCTCTAATTAGCAATGAGTAAAACTGCACTTTATAATATGGAACCAGTCCTGACGTTTCAGAACGCTCTTACTATCTCCTTAATAATAAACCTTAAATAAAGCAAAAAACTTGACGCTACTTATAATCTATATGCATCAGATGTTGCAGTTATACACTAATAAGATGTAAATTTGGGTGATAAATCTATGATTTTCAGTAATTTGTAAGACAGGGCCTTAATAAAGTGTTTGTTGTGCTTTATTACAACTAATAATGCAATTATTAGTGATTTTCAGACCTCCAATTATATACTAATACAGATCATAATGAATACAGATTACAGTGAATAAACCATTCAGAAGTGTCTAATTTGGGCTTTATTGAACACTGAAAATGACCCTGATAAACCCTCAACATGGGCTGCTTGAAATAATGACTTGCTGCCCAAGTTAATGAGGCTGTTTGTCCTTCTCTGCCTGCTGTAGGAGGAAAGTGCCACAGCTACGAATGGAGAACCAGCACATGGAACAACAATGAGAGAACAGTGTGGTGTCAGCGCTCCGATGGGGTCAACGTCACAGGTACTGACCCCAGTCAGCACAGTGTAGGGGATTCTAATAAAGTGCCCAGTGAGTGGAAGTACAGAGTGGGTGTTTCTAATAAAGTGGCCTGTGACTGAAAGTACAAGGTAGGTATTTCTAATAAAGTGGCCACTATATGGAAGTACAAAGTGGATGTTTCTAATAAAGTGGCCACTGAATGGAAGTACAAAGTGGATGTTTCTAATAAAGTGGCCAGTGAGTAAAAGCACAAAGTGGGTGTTTCTAACAAAGTGGCCAGTGAGTGGAAGTACAAAGTGGATGTTTCTAATAAAGCGGCCAGGTAGTGGAAGTACAAAGTGGGTGTTTCTAATAAAGTGGCTAGTGATTGGAAGCACAATGTGGGTGTGTCTAATAAAGTGGCTAGTGAGTGGAAGTACAAAGTGGGTGTTTCTAATAAAGTGGCCAGTGAGTGGGAGTACAAAGTGGATGTTTCTAATAAGGCGGCCAGGTAGTGGAAGTACAAAGTGGGTGTTTCTACTAAAGTGGCCACTGCGTGGAAGTACAAGGCAGTTGTTTCTAATAAAGTGGCCAGGAGGTGGAAGTTGGGTGTTTCTAATAAAGCAGCCAGTTAGTGGAAGTATAGAGTGGGTGTTTCTACTAAAGTGGCCACTGAGTGGAAGTACAAGGTAGATGTTTCTAATAAAGTGGCCAGTGAGAGGAAGTATAAGGACAGTGTTTCTATTAAAGTGGCCAGTGAGTATGGACTGAATTGTTATGTTCTGCTCAGAATTTGTAGTTGAAATGTGGCGATGTAACGACAAAAGGTTTGAAATGGTTCAGTAGCACTTCTGCTCCTTTATTCTCCGCTGTTCTGGTTTCTCTGCTGGAAGCTTTTGATCCTGTTCTGTTGGTACTTATGGACTCTCCTGAACTGCATCAAATGCATACCTGACCTAGACACGGCTCTGCTGCAGCTCACACTGGCTCTGTACTGTTTGATCCTCCTATTCTTTTATTTATTTAACCTTTATTTCACTTTGCTTTCACCACTCAGGTCAGTAGTTCTCTTCTCCAGCAGAGACCTGAACACAGGGGCCAAGAAAATACACAGACAATAAATAAAAAAGAGGCAACAGTCAAACAGCTTTTGATTAAATAAATATGAAATGTAAAAAATAAATAATTTCAGTAGATGCCTTTGAATTCCATCACTTAGAGGAATACTTTTTTCCAACTAATCTCTATATGCTGCATCTGTCGTATGCGGTCGACTAAAACAATAATTCAAACCTCACTTAAAACTCCAATGGCCAATTCCTGAATTATGTAAGTAAAGCTTAATTCAAAAATTAATAACTTTGTTATTCTTCAGTCAGATTTATTTGTAAATTAAGCTGTAAATATGAACAAGTGGGTCTGTCAGAGATGGGACTAGACTTCCAGAGCAAAGAACTGAAAGAAAGTGATGTGGGCGGAGTTTTCACAGGCTCCACCCGATTGCCACCTTATGCTTATGCACATGAAACCTTCATGCAACTTTAGTTGCTTGAAACCCGCATGAAACTAAAGTGCGCTCGAGTTGTGTAAAGTAAAGCGCCCCACAAGCATAGCAAGTGACTCATGAAAGTGCTTCATGAAACAGCCAATAAAAACGCCAGTAACGCATCACGTGTTTATATCAAACGGCATATTTTAGAGTGATTGGGTGGTTGAACAGGAGACCCCGCCCCCAACTCAGTCATAGTTTTACATTTTGTTATTTAACTGAGACACAACAATCAAAGTGAATTTCTCAAAGCTAGCGTTTCTGTAACCAGCTGTGTTAGCTAGCCAGCTAACGCTAACAGCGGTTTAAATGGCTGCTTGTGCCACCATTTATTGTTCTTTAGCTGCTGTTATTGTGATCTGGGTAGCTAGATTCGTTTTCTCTTTTCTTAACGGCCCCTAATTTAGTACATTTGGCATCAAAGGATAAAATTTACTACACAAGAAAAGGCCGAGATGCTCCTCAGTGAACTTGCAGTCTTCTAGGACGGAATGAGTGACATAGTTTTCAAAGGCTTAACATTTACTTTAGTTACTACGGGAGTCCGGAGAGGCCCTGATCTGTGGAACTTTCCGGATTGTTATGTTGAGATCACAACTTAGTTGTGTTGTGATGTTTGTTATCTTAAGATCACTAGATAATTAAGTCATGATGTCAAGATAACAACTTTGTTACAACCCTGTTTACTGTTTTCTGCATTTTAGAATGATAGTTAAAATATCAACTTTGAAATAAGTCGGAGGAAGAAATCATTGAACATCTTCAACATATGGTTAATTAGAACCCACACTGGGGAACCCTCAGAGCCTTCAAGGTCTCCGGAGAAGGCTTGAGGTTTTATAGCAAGTAAAAAAAGAAAACATCTGTAATTTTCAGTTCATTTTTATTTGATGTAATCATGGGGTTTAAACAGTTATTGTAGTAATACTCTTATTTCATGGTTAAGTTTTTGTTGGTAACAAAAGGGTTCAGTTCTTGAAACACCTAATAGAGAATTATCCAATCAGGATTGTTTTCTCGGTGGTATCTAGGTAGATACAGCCAAGCTGCTCTCTCATTGGTTAGGACTTCAGGAGCTGGATTGAAGTCCTTACATGTTAGATTAACTACCAACATAATTAGGAAGTGACAGAGGAATCAACCAATCACATTCTGATTTACATTTTTGTTAAAGAAACAGCACTCTAGTCCTTCAAGAGGTTCTAGATACATCACTGACTATGAATACAAGTCACAGTCTAAGCCGGTTCCGGTTAGTTGTTAGGAATGTAAAACAGAGGCGGCAGCTCTATGTCAGAACTCTTTACTGAAAGAGTCACTAAAACTGATACAAACTCAGATATATGATACTGTCTGTTATGAACTTCAAATAAAACACAGGGAATGATTTTACAAGCTTCAAATGTTTGTGTTTCATCTAGAAAGGCCAAAAATGTTCATGTACAGAAGCGTTAGCTTAGCACAAACATACTGAATTCTCATTTTTTTGACCACGTTTTGATTGTCATGGACTGCACTGAAGGTCTGTTCGCATTGAAGGTCTGTTCAGAATAATAACGGTTCACCATTAAGATCTTCCTCACAACACACCTGATTGGCTCAGATACATTAATGCAAACACACTTTCCACTACTTGAGTTTTAACCCCTTAAATGGCCAGGGCCCCCCAGTGGGCACAAAGCTTTATTACACACATCGATACCCTAAGAATACACACTTAAAACGCTTAGTTCTTCAAGGGTTCTTTAGTAAAGAAAAGTTCTATATATAGAACTATGAACACTTAAAGAACCGTTCGCATGATTAAATGGGTCTCTGCATGGTGAAATGGTTCCTCGATTGATGGAGAATGTACTATAGATGGTTTTTGAAAAGGGTTCTATATGGCACCACAAAGGGTTCTGCTATTGTTACAATATCAAGCTTGTAACAAAAGAAGAAACCTTTTTGGAGCCTTTCTAGAACCATATACAACACATTCTCCATCAATTTGAAGAACCATTTCACCATGCAGAGACCCATTTAATCATGCGAACAGTTCTTTTAGTGTTTATAGTTCTATATAGAACCATTACTAAAGAACCCTTGAAAAACCATACTTTCTAAGAGTGTAGTTCAAGCATTAATGTCCCTGTAGTTACTGAAAAATAAGCGTTAGTATGTAATAAGCCTGGGATTTTAAGGGGTTAATAACGAACCCATAATAATTGTGGTTTAAAATTTTTCAACTTTAAACTTGAGAAAAAGTTAAAAATAAAAACTCCTTGCTGGGTGAAAAACCAAACATTTATTTTAATGTTTAAATGTTTTGTTTTGGGAATAAACTCATATATCGGCATTAACATAATTGTATTATTAACATAATACTTTCTTAAGCATATCTTGTCTTAAGCACTTTAGATTAAAATGACAAAAAAACAAACATTCACTATATCCCAAACGTTTGGCAGCTACTGTAAACACACACCTGTTTAAATTTTCAAAAATTGATCTCGGATGTAAAGCAGTGTTTTTGAGCTGGAGATACGGAGTAAAAGGAGTGTATTGATCACTCCGCCCTCCACCTTCACCAGCAGAGTCATGAATAAAACAGTGTTCACCTCCACAATCTATACAAACGTAATAAAACTGCTTTCCTCGCTCCAAAATGAACACGCCTAGGGCTGCGAGCTCTGAGAGTGGGGTGGGGGGGTTGTGGGTAGTGGCTGGTGCTGAGAATAACACGTAAAGGTGATGTTATCTGAGGGAATCGGCTTCTGCGAATATATATATATATATTTATATGTAAGCTCCTCGCAGGTAATCTCCCAGGCTTTGGGAGAAAGGCTTACTCTCCCAAGTTTTGACACTTAATTTTCCCATTCCAAAATTACAATGTTCGCATTTTGATCTGAGGCTGCGATAGACTCTCCGAGCCATTCATCAGCTCTGACAGTACATTTGTTTGGTTATCAATGGTGAAATGGCAATAATTACTTTTTGTTGTTGTTTTTCTTGGTAGGCGGGTGCTTCTTGCCCAGCAGGCCGGCGGCCGTGCGTCACTGCCATCCCCCCTGCACTAAACCATTCTCTCACTGCAAACAGGTGAGTACAGAGCCACGCCTGCACAGGGCCATCATCTAAGAGGCATAGGAGGACACATCCCCTCTAGAGTTGAACAGAAAAGTGATTTTATTCCCTCAACATGTAAACAGAGCATAAAAAAACAAGAAAAGTTCTAACAGGTGCAGTAACATCTTTAGAGGGCGGCGCTGAGCGACGTTTGTTTATTTGATGTTTGTTAATGACGCCTTTAGAGGGCGGTGCTGAGCGACGTTTGTTTAGTTGATGTTTGTTAATGAAGCCTTTAGAGGGCGGCGCTGAGCGCCGTTTGTGTATTTGATGTTTGTTAATGACGCCTTTAGAGGGCGGCGCTGAGCGCCGTTTGTGTATTTGATGTTTGTTAATGACGCCTTTAGAGGGCGGCGCTGAGCGACGTTTGTGTATTTGATGGTTGTTAATGACGCCTTTAGAGGGCGGCGCTGAGTGACGTTTGTTTATTTGATGTTTGTTTATTTGACGTTTGTAAATGACCACCACAATATCTTTGGTCTTCCAGATGAGGATAAACCGCTATGACATCACCAGTATGAGCTCTAGTACACAAACTAGAATGATGTGTTTGTGTTAATTATTACTGTAAAGAGCTTGTTAGGTTTGTATTTGCTAGTTAGGTAGCTAATGCTAATGTTATTAGCTTGTAGGCTCTGCCCATTTCAGCTCTTGCACTCCTTTTTCCAAAACAGCCACATCTGTTTTCAAACCAAGAGGCTCTGAGAAATGACTGATCCTTGTTTGTAGCATAAATCCTTTTTTAATATGTACATAATGACCAGTGTGCAGTAATACAGCATGCCGCTATTGTTATGGTTAAAGGGATGATTCATGGGAGAATGAATTTCCATAATTGCTGCAAATAGACTAATATGACAAATAAAAAGGGATAAACCCACGAGACCGTCCATTCACTGCCCCCCCACCACCACAATTATCAAGCGACGTGCAGCAGGTCAAGCAGACAATGAATGTTACCACAAGCGTGTTGTTTTGATTTTCTGCTGCAGCCTCTTTAGCTTTGTTTGGCTCTGAAATGATCTGACCAGCTGCTTCTCATTGCTGATACTGACGTCCAGTAATGCCACAGAGATCATCTTCTGGAAGACCATTTCGGCACAAATGCTTACACTGTGATTCACACCGATGCTGGCCGATCTCAGTCATCTGTTAGGTCTTTAAAACTGTAGAACAGACTCGGTTTATATCACAATACCTACATTTAGAGTCGGTTATTCATTCAGCCTAACGAGAAACTGTAGAACAGACTCGGTTTGTATCACAATACCTACATTTAGAGTCGGTTATTCATTCAGCCTAATGAGAAACTGTAGAACAGACTCGGTTTATATCACAATACCTACATTTAGAGTCAGTTATTCATTCAGCCTAATGAGAAACTGTAGAACAGACTCGGTTTATATCACAATACCTACATTTAGAGTCAGTTATTCATTCAGCCTAACGAGAAACTGTAGAACAGACTCGGGTTATATCACAATACCTACATTTAGAGTCAGTTATTCATTCAGCCTAATGAGAAACTGTAGAACAGACGGTTTATATCACAATACCTACATTTAGAGTCGGTTATTCATTCAGCCTAATGAGAAACTGTAGAACAGACTCAGTTTATATCACAATACCTACATTTAGAGTCGGTTATTCATTCAACCTAATGAGAAACTGTAGAACAGACTCGGTTTATATCACAGTAAGCACCAAAGGAAGAGCCTTGGTCAGAGTTTTGATAAATCACCCACATGAACACAGCCCTACTCTGAGTTTTGAAGTCCTTTTGACAGTGTTTTGTATTTGAACATCAACTAAGCTATGCAGGCTGTCAGATCTAAGGCTACACTTGGATCCTTTTTATCAGCAAAAAGCAGTAGGTTTGCATGTTTGCTTTCAATAGCAGCACACATATTCAAACCTGATGGGCAACACAATGTGTGTTAACATTCAGTCCTGCATGAAAGCCTTTAAGAAGATATTAGTTTATAAAAGATCTCATTAAACACCGCTGTACACTAGAATAGCAGATATTAGTCAATAAACGACTTCATCAAACGCACATTTACACTGGAATAGGAAGTATTTGCCCATAAACAACTTTAGTAAACACTCCTATATGTTAGAATAGGAGATATTAGTCCATAAACAACCTCATCAAATGCTCCTATACACTAAAATAAGAGGGATTAGCCCATAAGCAACCCTGATAAACACTCCTATCTGCAAGAATAGAAGATATTAGTCAATTAATGACCTAATCAAATGCTCCTATATACACAAATATATGAGGTATTTGCCCATAAACAACTTGGTAACACTTTCTGTGAATGTCACCTTTGTAAGCATCTATAAACACATTCATAACATGTTATAATGCATTCCTAAGGCATTATAAACATGGCTATAAATATTTATAAAATTGCATTACATGTTACAGCCATGCTTATTGTGCATTATGAATTGTTTACATAATACATTATAAGTACTGTTCATAACAAATTATAAGAGCTCATAAGTGGTATTTGTCTGCTCTAAGTAAAGTGAAGCGTACTGTACTAAAGCCTCCTCCAGTGTTCAGAGTGAGGCTTCAAGTTGAAGTATTTACTGAAGGATTTACTGAAACACTAAAACATACACAGTAAAGCACATTACAGGCTTCAAATGTCAGAGTTTAAACTAGAGCTGCCCTCAGTGTTTTACCCAATGTGGGAAAGGTAATGTACACCACCGTTAGCTTGGCACTAACTTAACACTGCATATCCAATAGAATGTTAACAGACATTAGCATTACTGTACTGTAGTGTAGTGTTACAGAGTGAAGGGTTCTAGTGCTTGACATTAGAACCAGTGGGGGAACAAATTACAATGACTCTCCCTCTCCAGGCCTTCACTCCACAGTGACTTCACGCTCAGTGTGATGTCAGAGGGGGTTCAGGGGAGGGGCTGATGGGTACTTGGTTTGCTGTGATGTAAAGTAGTGTTTAAAGTGAGACGCTGGGTAAGAAAAGCTCACTGTAGCAGTGATTCTAGGCTGGTCAGCCTGTTTGGAGCATCTGAATATTCAGGACTGAAGCCCTGAAGATGCAGCTCTAACAGCACCAGCACTGAGAAACAAAATACTGGAAATCCCAGAGTGTAAATAAACTTTGTATTTGTCTTTAAGCTCTCCAGGCTGGGACTGACTTCTTTAGCACTGACAGTATAACATGTTATTAACACTATTTATAATACATTATATTAACAATTCATAATGTATAATAAACATGGCTATAAAGTGTAATTCATTGTAATTCATTTTTATAAATATTTATAACCATGTTTATAATGCCATATGAATGCATTATAACATGTTATAAATGTGTTTATAGATGCTTACAAAGGTGACATTCATAGAAAGTGTTACTAACAACTTTAATAAACTATCCTATATGCTAGAATTGGAGATATTAGCCCATAAAAACTTCAGTGAACACCTATACATTAGAATAGAAGGTATTAATTCTATTTATACTTCTACTCAAGTTGTTTTCTTACTTTATTTCACTGAATTGGCAATGTTTTAGTTGAATATGGGTTTAAGCTGCCCATCCCTGGTTCAGTAGCAGTGATGGTACCAGCAGGCCTTCATACTGCCCCCCCTTTCTGTTCCAGAGTGGTGTTTGTGGCTGTGAGAAGGGCTACACGGAGGTGATGACCACACATGGCTTCCTGGACTACTGCACCAAGACCCCTGGTGGGGACACCAGAAAGGCGGATGTGAAGACCAGCTCGGGGAGGTTAAAGCCAGGCCCCTCCCACATCCAGGACTTCTTCAGCGAGTGGTCCCTGCAGCCGCTCAGCCCAGGTACACTGTTTCCAAAAGTCTGTAGATCCAGCGTTTCTGCTGAAATGAAGGGTGTTAATAGTGAGTTTGTGCTGCAGTAACAGCCTCTACTCTTCTGGGAAGGCTTTACAGTAGATGTTGGAACATTGCTGTGAGGATTTGATTGAGCATTAGTGAGGTCAGATACTGATGTTGGAGGGTCAGTTCTGGATCACTCCAACTCATCCCATCCCAGTATCTGCTGTCTCGTAAGCCGCAAGGTTTAAAAGATGCAGTGAAGCAGTGGAGCCATCAACAAGGTCAAGACAAAACAGAAAGTGAAAGTTCAGTGATGAGGAGAAAGTGTGCTGATAAATCAAGTTCTTTCTAACCAATACATTCTACAACAGGGTTTCTCAACCACTGGGCCATTGACCACAATGGGCTGCAAAGCACCCTTTGGTGGTCCTCAGGCCAGTACTGAGGAGGAGCCAGTGGTCCATCGTGAACCAGTGATGGTACTTTGTAATAAAAAAAAAAAAAACAGTGAAAAACTGACTTAATGATAAGAAAAATACAAACTGTTCTCAAACGGTAAACAATATTTATACAAGTCATGCAACAATGGTGCACAAGGCAGCTTTATCCGTTTTGTGCCCCGTCTCTGGAAACGAAATACACTGCCCTGAGGTGTCAGTTGTCCGGTCTTGAGCTTATGTTTGCCTTGTCTGTTATTATTTAATGTTCAGTGAGATACATGGCATGTTGTGCCACCCAAAAGTGTTGAAAATTGACCAAAAATGATTTTTTTACCCAAAATGTTTTGTTTTTTTGTTTGTTTGTTTTGTTTTGCTGTGCATCGTCATGCTCTCTAGTGGTAAATAGGTGAACCTTGAGGTGGAGAAGGTTGAGAAGCCCTGTTCTATAGGGACTCTGCTCTGCTATATAATAGAATTCAGGATATAATAACACATTGGCTATGAACGAAATTAATCTCTGTTTGTGTTTAAGGACACTATTGAGCACATTGGGCAATTTTCTCTTAGTGTCTGAGCTGTAAAATGGAATTCCAGAGTGATTTTGAGGACACTATAAACTCCTACAGTGCACTCATTATTTCAAGTGAATAACAGATCACTGCATCAGCATCATACAGCAAAAACACTAACTATAACTGCAGGTTACTGCAGTTATTGACCAAGAATTAATGTGTAGTCCAGTCAAGTTTTGTGCTTTTCCCCCAGCCCCCAGCACTTTCCCCCAGCACTTTCCGAAATGTTACGCCCACGTCTACAGCTATGAATAAGCAGCTGATGTTGGTTTGTTTATGTTTATGTTTATGTGGCTGGTGAATAGTAATGCAGGCTGATGATGAGAACGTGTCTGATTTCATTCACTGATTCATGCTTTTCCACACCTGTTTAGTAAACAAAATACAGTCTTATGCAAAAGTTTGAACAACTCTAGTCAATGTTTTGTTGATTTTCTGAGCGAAACATTAACACATCCTCTTCAGAAAACACTCTGAAATGTGACATTTTCCTGCATATTTTAGTGCACATTTTTTATTTATTTACTGAGTTCAACATATTGGGAGAAAAATAAAACATAAAATGTGCTAAAACGTTTGTGCAGGCCACATTTTAGGTTTTAGGTTTTTTTTCCAGTATGTTAAATTTAGCAAATAAACAGTAATTGTGAATTAAAATGTGCAGACGTGTCAAAAACAACGAAAAATAGAATTGGATATCCATGTATAATGTTTTGGTAGTAAAGAACTTCATTTATTGCACATATTGTGGCTCCATTACAGCTTATTTTGCACTGCGTCTTCTCTCACTTTTCCATATGATTCTAAGAGCTAAAACAGTGTTGGATATTCTTTGAGCTCATGTTTGAGACTTGTGTTTCCATCTAGCTGCTATGTCTGTTGTGATTGGTAAAGAAAGTCTCCCAACAACAGTGTCTTTGAGACGCTGCTGCTGCCTGGTTTTAACAGAGAGTCGAGAAAAATCCACAGCAAAACTGCCCTCAAACTATACTAACTCAAGCGGAATATGCAATCAGCATATCTCCACCCACTTTCTGATGTGTTCGGTTTTCTTAACCGCTTATTGCCCATAAACTGGCACTTTCTCAGATAACGTGCAGACAGATTGCATCCGATTTGCACCTGAAAACACCACAGGGGCTCAGTACGTTCAGCTCTGAGGAGATAAAATGTTAGGAACCACAAATCATTGTTTTTGAGTGGTGTGAGTACAAGGTAGGTGTTTCTAATAAAGTGGCCAGTTAGTGTAAGTACAAGGTGGGTGTTTCTAATAAAGTGGCCAGTTAGTGTAAGTACAAGGTGGGTGTTTCTAATAAAGTGGCCAGTTAGTGTAAGTACACAGTGGATGTTTCTAATATAGTGGCCAGTGAGTGGAAATACAAGAAAGGTGTTTCTAATAAAGTACCCAGTTAGTGTAAGTACAAGGTGGGTGTTTCTAATACAGTGGCCAGTGAGTGGTGTGTGAAGGTGGGTGATTGTCAGAATGGCGCTCCAACAAAAACACAACCACACGAAACAAATTGATGAACAATTTTAATGTTTATGCATGTTTGCAAAAAAAGTTCATTAAACGTTTATAAGTCATTTTACTTGATGCTTTAAGGCTTGAATATTTTTGATGAATGCACACTGTAAGTTGGCACAAAGTAACAGCAGGCTGTTACCAGAGTTTTACACACTCACCGTGTGAGCAGCAGTTTCAAGAGAACTAGTACAGAAAGCATTTATCTGAATATGTTAACAATTTCCGAGACCATTCCTGCAGAGTAAGTCAATCGATGCCACCTACGCAGATGTTTCAGATGCAGATGAGGACGGCGCTCTGCTGTGGCAGTTCAGTGCGGGTTGCTGGCTGAGGGTTCAGAGTTATGGCAGATGAGCCTGCCGCCTTTATGACGCCCCGAGAGGGCGGCTGATATAGAACTGGGTTTATTACGCCGCAGTTTAGACCTGATGGAGACGTATGGAGGCTGGGGGATCCCCCGCGTCCTCCTGCCAAAGTTTCATTACAGTGTGATTTGTATCAGCCATAACGTAACATGAAAGTGTTGCTTTACCACTGGCTTTGGGCCATTCCTGATTAGATCTGAATTTAGTGCTCTGCGCTGCAGCTTCAGATGCCCCCAGTCAGCCTTATTGTCCAAAACGCTGGGGATCCCATCAGAACAGCCTGACTTCAGAGTCAGTGGTGTCTTTTGAGCATGACTGTGACTATATTCACTCCCTGGACACTTTATTAGAAACCCCTCCCTTGTAGCTCCACCTTGCTGGTGTACTGTTAGAGACTGTGGCTCATCTGCTGATGCAGTTTGTGGTAGCCGTCCTCTAGTCCTTCATCAGGTTAGGTCAGTTGATGATCCATGTCAGTGTTACTGCTGTGAATAGTCCACTACACAAATAATATCTGGACTACAGATGGACTACACTCTGTAACTGTACACTTACATAGTGGAGCTATAAGGTAGGTGTTTCTAATAAAGCAGCCATATAGTGGAAGTACAAAGTGGGTGTTTCTACTAAATTGGCCAGTGAGTGGAAGTACAAGAAAGGTGTTCCTAATAAAGTGGCCACTGAGTGGAAGTCCAGGGTAGGTGTTTGTAATAAAGTGGCCAGTGAGTGGAAGTACAAGAAAGGTGTTCCTAATAAAGTGGCCAGTGAGTGGAAGTCCAAGGTGGGTGTTTCTAATAAAGTGGCCAGTGAGTGGAAGAACAAGATAGGTGTTTCTAATAAAGTGGCCACTGAGTGGAAGTCCAAGGTGGGTGTTCTAATGAAGTGGTCAGCGAGTGGAAATAGAAGTTAGGTGTTTCTAATAAAGTGGCCAGTGAGTGGAAATAGAAGTTGGGTGTTTCTAATAAAGTGGCCAGTGAGTGGAAGTCCATGGTGGGTGTTTCTAATAAAGTGGCCAGAGAGTGGAAGTCCAAGGTGGGTGTTTCTAATAAAGTGGCCAGTAGGTGGAAGTACAAGATAGGTGTTTCTAATAAAGTGGCCAGTGAGTGGAAGCACAAGGTAAGTAACACATCCTCTATAGACGACACACTTCAGCACATTTTAGTGCATAATTACTGTTTATTTGCTGAGAAATTCAAATCTAATCTATTCTGTCTAATATAAAGTGACTCTACATTAACATTTGCTTTATATGTACACAAATTGTATTATTTCCCCAGAGGAGCCCAATCATGCATGCATAATTAGCATACCGGACACTCTTCAGATCTCTTTCAGATGAAAAAGACCTATAGTTGTTTGTTAGCATGTTAGCATCTGAGCTGTCGTCTGGTTGCACCGAAGTGCCTCTGTTTGCTTTTTCGCTCCCTGGAGAGATAAGAATTGTTTTCCAGGAAAGTCTCAGCCGCTCTGAGGAAAATGGTCCAGCTGCGGTTTAAAGAAATCACTGTCAGGTCAGAGGCTGGAGGGGAACGTCACCGCTGCTGTCTGTCAGCCTGACGCGGTTTGTTTTTTTGTGTGTGTTCATACAGACGGAAGGATAAAGATGTGGGTGTACGGGGCCACAGCTGGAGGCTTCATTCTCATCCTGTTCATCATCGCCGTGTCCTTTCTGTTCTGGTACGTATAACTACATCCTAAACCATATCATTATATGGAAAACACGGCGCTTGCTCCTCGGATGTGCGCATCTCTTGGAAGCATATTCCAAGCAGGAAGGCTTTGAGGGTATTAATAGCACTTGTCACACATTGTTATCTGATTTGATGATGTGTGGGTTTTGCATCCAAATTACCATGCTGGCTGCGATGCTCTGGCGCATTTGGCGGCCTGAAATACAGCGCGGCACTGCCACCTGGTGGAAGAGGAGGAAAGTGGTGGAAGGAAACTCCAGAGGCTTCAAGCATGAAAGATATTGAGCGCTAATCTTGGATCTGTCATTGTGGATTAGAGCATAGAGGGGAAAACTGAGCCTAAATCGACTCTCTTACCCTCCAAACTCGGAGTAAACCTGAATGGAACACGTGGACAAAAATAACAATGAATGACAATGAATTTTGTGCAACTTTCACGCACAGAAATGAACCTTAAAGTACAATATTGCAAAATGTGCACATGGAACAAGCAGAAATGAAGTAGCAACGAAAAAGAGAGGAATATACTTGAAAGCTAAAGTGAATAAATATGATCTGAGTTGTTTTTAAACCATTCGGCAGATGAAGCCTGACGGATCTGAGGCGGAAAGAAAAACTCCAAATCTTTGAAGCATAAACAAACAGCTGCTTCTCTAGTTTTCCTTCTGTTTACTACCCAGAATTTGATGATGTGATCTGGAATAAAGTCTGTCAAAATATCTTTTAGTACATGGAGAGCTTTAGATTTACAGCTTTAAACACTAATGGAAAAACTTTTAAATCATTTCTAGAAGACAGAAGCATCCAGTGCAGTGGTGCAGGAAGAGGAGGGAATCTCAAAAAAGCCAGGTTTATCAGTAAAGCTGGATAATTCAAGACCAAAAGTGAGGATTGTCCAATAGGAATGACCCCTGATTTCTCCTCCTGCTGGACAGGCTTTGTGAAAAAACCTCCTGGTTACTTTTCCATCATCAACATTCCATATAAGCCCAGAAGACTCATGTAGGTTCACTGGTGGTTCTGGATAGTAAATAAAATGTCTATATTTGTGTTGTAGTCATGGCGACCCCTGGTTCCTATCACCACCACTGTAAAGACATCTGAACCATTTCACACCAAACCACTCTGAGTCACTCTGTTTACATCTCACACACTGAATTATGAAAATTTCCTCTTTAGTTATTATTGCAGTATTGGCCTTTGTAATACTGATATCTCAGAAGGCAGCAATATGCAAATGAGCCCTCTAACCAATCACAGTTTGTCTTACTGTTTATCCTGACCAATCACAGCTCTGCATGAGTTTCTGTGGGTGTTTTGATGAAAGGATGTTCATCTAATCCAACAAATAGGCCAGTCTTTAACCGCCATATCATTGATTTAGAATGTTGTTAGCTAAATGGTAATTGAAGTATGTAGAAATTAGAGCTGCCAAAGCGAGTGCATTACATATTAATAATGCATTAAAAGTGCTTAACGTGTTAAATGACTATCGCCATTCATTTTAAAAAAGCGTTTTTTTAGTTTGACCCTTCGTCCCATTGTAGTATTCCAGGCTGAAGCCCAGCTGCAGTGCTGTATTTTGCTTAGATAGAATCTGTGATTGTAGCTCTCATTCAAATACAGCTTTTAAATGTCTTTTAAAGCAAAACATTCAGCACTACAGACTACACTGGACAGACACTCACAGGAGAACTATGGATAAATCAATGAGCAGCAAACTAACAATAGCAGCAGCAGCAGCTGGGTGGAACTTCAGTTCCCCTTAAGATCCTCCAACAAGAACTATACACACATTGACTGTAAATTTGATATATACACTCACTGACTGTATACATGATATGTATTTATACTCATTGACTTTATACAAGATATATATGACATATACACTCATTGTATATATGATGCATATGATGTATACACTACTGACTGTATATATGCTATATATGATATAAATGCCAATTGGTTGAACATACAGAGACTATTGGTGTCACTGTCACTGTTGGTGACGTCAGTGCTATCTGCCTGTCTGTCTGTCTGTCTGTCTGTCTGTCTGTCTACTGTATCTGTCTGTTCATCTATCTATGTATTTATCTATGTAAAGGCTCAAAAGTTTGAAATCACTTGCCATATTTACAGATTTTATTTTATATACAATAATAATTTATATAATGTTAATCAAAAAAAATTCTCCAAAACATTTTGTAGATGTTTATTAAATATTTCAAGAGTTCTGTGAGCGCAAAATTACTAAATGGCCCCATATCATATATTTTTCTTGTATTTTATTTTTTTTCTGGAGTTCATTTGTAAAGTTTGTGTGGTTTTATTTACCCAAACCAGTCATAGTTCATTTTTAGATGACCGTTTTACAGCCTCTCTTTATCCCTGAGAATTTAAGAGTGTTTTTGTTACTGTGACTTTAAGCCTGATGTATGTAATGTAATAGTAAATGTGTTAATGTAATCTAGTAAACCTTTTCAGACAGAGTCCAGGCAGGAGAAGACAACAGCATGAATCAGCTTCTTAGTGGAAGCTCAGCTTCTCTGTCTGACGTTGTTCTTTTCCTGCTCTTATCCTTCCAGCAGCAGACCGGTCAAACAGAGCAAAAACCCGTCTCCTCCTCAGAAGGCTCTGGCTCTGGCCTACGACGGAGACGTGGACATGTGATGGACGTTTTTTCAGCCAACGGGCCTCAAAAAACTCACACTGAACCGTAGGGAGCATTTCAAACCATCCTTCTCTCCCAGGAGACCTTCTGCGTTTGTGCCCAAAAATAGCCCAGCGCTGGAGCGGCGGTGAAGCTGCGGCCCGGTGAAGCTTCCTCTGACGTCAAAAAAGGGAGCGCTAACCTTTAGGAGGATGTTTTGACAGCTTGAGTTGTTGTTTACACGGCCAGCGGGGGAAAAAAGAGCTGAGGATCAGCGTAAAGATGTAATATCACGACATTCAGAGAGGTTACAGCGACGGGGCCGGTGACATTCCACGGACCAGGAGAGTCTCTGAAACTTCATTTGATTTTTTTAAATAAAGGAAAACAAAAAAAAAAAAAGAAATATGAATAATGTAGGAAGGGCATTCCAAGTTACTCTATTTTCTGTCTGTTGCACAAAACCACCAAACTCTAACTGACTTTGATGCAGAGGAAACGAACTAACAAAACAAAGGAAGTGTTATGCACTATATTAGTGCTTTCTCATTATTTTATTTATTTATTTATTTATTTATTTACAACTTATTTGTGTTTATTTTCAGTGTAATGCAAGAACTTTGCTGTGAACTGGTGTTTTTCATCCATATGAATGTGTATATGCAGATGTGACTTTGATCATAAACCAAAACCTGCTGGACTGGCCTCAGTAGTGGTCAGTCTATAAACCTGCAGTCACATTAGAAATTTGCAGTTTGAATCAGCTGAAAAAGGTTTGAACAAAGCTGGACTGGAAGCTCGGCAGCGAGAAAAAACCCTCCAGTTAGATGCAGTTAGCAAACTAACAAGCTAAGTCACCAACCTCAAACAGTGAAAACACAAAAGGAAACATAATTATGCCAGATAATTAAAAATCGCCACTATTTTGATTTTTTTTTCTTAGAAAAAAAAAGATTTTCGCCATGACTGGTGGCAGTGGCAGCTAGAGCAGTTAGCAAGCTGTCTGACTCAGCAAGAACACAAAAGTATGGATAGTTATTAGAGATGCACCGAAATTTTGGCCACCAAAACATTTCAGCCTTAAATAGTCAATAATTGTAGATGATAAACAAACAAAAGGTTAAATAGATCTACAAAGCTCTATTAAGTGTCAAAATTAAATCATTTAAATGATAATGAAAAAGAAAAACGCTGTTTTTTTGTTTCCTTCACTCTCCAGCACAGCTGCATTCAAACAGTTCGAGCAGCAGCGGATCAACACTGAAAATACCAGCCACGTGTAACCATCTCACGGGTTCTATGAGGAACGTTAGCCTCAAGGTTAATAATCTCTGTTCATGTGGAGCATCAAGACGCCCAAGAATGTCTCCACTGCAGTTCTGATAGCCCCCGAAAACACAACTCGATACGCAGAAGACAAACAACAGAAGCAGGAAGGAAAGGCCGTGCAACCCTGCTGACACCATCGGTACACTCAGCTTACGTAACGATGAAAATGTCCTCAAACCACAGACGAAGAGCGAAGAGTAACTAACAATAATAAATAATAATTCCTTATCTTGAATGGCCAACCACTCTCTGTTGTCAAGCATGCTGGATTTCATGACACCGTGGCCTAGATAATCACTTCAGCGAGTGAGTTTATAAAAGCTGTTTTTCAGTTTTGTCCTTCTGAAATCATATCTCATCAATAATAAGTGTTAAATTTCGGTTTTGGCCAGGAAATTGAATTTCGGTGCATCACTAATAGTGATATAGTCTACGGACTGGCTGCTTATCATGCTGCCTCTCTTTGTTGCAGCCTGTGGCCGAAAATAGTTTGAAAGTGCTTACGCTGCGTTCATGACCAAGTGTGAATTAGGAACGTCCCAAACTTCCCACTTCTCCGAGTGGAAAAAATCCATTTGATCGCTCATCCATCTCGTAATTCCAACTTCTGAGTTGCTGTTCTGTGATATCGTTTCAACATGACCATAGAACAAGAATGTGTTAAGCTTTTTTAAACAGATGTGTAAATTTCTATGTGTTTATCATGTGTTAATCTTACTGCTGAGCACAGAAGCAGACTCAGATAACTATAAGGTTAAGATGCTCTGTGCAATTTTTATTTAAATTGCACACTTTCATGTTTTTTAATGATAAATAGACCTTTAAAGTCATGTGTCATCCTGCAGTCCGTGTCATGCCCATATTTGCTAGTCTTCTTTATTTGGAAAAATGAATGGTGTTTTCAAAAAAATGCCACTATTGTGTCCTGTAGTGAACAGAACTTTTCCAAAGCCGATTAACTTTTTCTTCTGTTTTGTCATTGAGTGTCACTGGATCCTCATACTGGTGGCGGCTCAGAGTGTTTTACAGACAGGTGATAAAGCTTAACAGTAATAGAAGAAATTATCGGTATTCAATTGAAGTTCTATAAGACAGAGAGATCAAATTATAAATATTGAAAATATAAATATCAAAAGTAGAGGATTTCAATTAAACACTAAATAAAAGATATGTTTTGTAATATTTCTTAAAAGTGTGCACTGAGTTTAGTTTACCACAAGGTGTGATTTTCCAAAACGCCATTCATTTTTGTGATGAAGAAAACTAGCTTAAACTCTGAGTTCCTAATATGAGAATGATACCAGCTCCCATATGACGCATGACCTTAGAGGTCTATATGTCACAGCCAACACACGCTTTTAAAATAAATCAGCTAAAACTACCCAGCAACTCTTTAATTCCAATGTAAGTGCTATTTAAGACAAACACTATTTGACTGAAAGCACTGATTTTTTCCCAACCTCAGACAGCTGAAGTCAGGCTTTTAGGAGTTCTAAGCTGGAGAATTCCCAGTTCCCAGTTGTCGTGAACTATATGAAGCCCTGCCTCTTCAGAGGTCAACAGCCACAGCAGCAGTGTCACTGGTCGAGGAGGCAAAGTCGCATGTCAAAGTTCACCAAAGTTGAACTTGATGTGAAGTTTCAACTGCGAAGTTTACTCACTAACAGAAGCCTATGATCAGCTAGTGTGACTGGGCCTTAAGGCTTTATTTGGCCTTTTCCCTGCAGTCATTTGATCCTGTCTTCTTCAGCACCAGACTGGTGACTGGTCATTCTGCCCAGTGCCCACATGAGTACTTTAGCACAGAGAAAACTCTTTTTAAAGGAGGTCTTTATCATCAGCTGTACTGACGTCTTTACTCAGTCATTTTCAGGCTGCCTCTTCCTTCATTGCACTGATTTGGCCAGTATGGCTATTATCAGCCTTTTTAAATTCATTTTTAGATGTAATGGTTAATGGGACATTACATTCCCCTCCTGATACTGGCTGGACATTAAATGAGATATTTTTGTCTCAAGCTCCCTCTAACCTCCCACTCTATAAACAGCAAAAGTGAACACATTTCGCCGATCGTCACTAACGAAACTACTCCTCAACTTAAAGCCAACCCAGCTAGAATTTTTTTGTTCTAATAATGTTGTGAGAATATTGCACACATGTTCTTTTAATGTTTTCAGTGGGAAGTTTGTTCCTCTGGGATCATCATGTAACATAATCCCTGACAACATCCTCCAAATGTTGCAGTTAAAACGTTATGTCTTTAACATGTGACCTTATAAGAACATTTGAAATGATAAACATCCTTAAAACATTTTTTGAACATTAGATTAAAAGGTTTTCTTTAAACATTATTAGAACTCATAGGTAATGTTGGCCAAATTATGGGAACGTTCCCTGCTAGCTGGGAAAGTGGGACGGAAGAGATGTACTCGCAAGGAGAATGTCTGTTTGGTGGGGGACAATAGCACAACAACTCTCCTCTTAAAGACACAAACACCTGCCCCAAAGAGAAGTGGAAGCCAATGACATGGCAGAAATGTTGGCATCTGGGGCGGCCAATCAGATTTCAGGCTGGGTACTGACCACCGCGGCCACCCCTTTAAAACCACGTATGGTGCTGTATTTTCTTTATTTACTCAAGACAGTTGAAACACAAAACAGTCCCTGGATGAAGCTACAAGATAGTGATGTTCCAGACCTGGGGTGTCCAATCTTATCTCCAAAGAGTTGGTGTGGCTGCTGGTTTTCATTCCACACAACCATGAATTTACCTGATTCTACTTGTTTTCAAACGACTCATCATGTGAGCTCCTGCTTGGGTGGAATGGAAATCTGCAGCCACACTGGCCCTTTGAGGACAAGACTGGACACCCCTGTTCTAGACCTATTGTCGCAAGCCAGGTTTATGGCTCTTGGCAGAAATTCTGGTAGCTTTTACTGCTAGGTGTAGCCAAGAACCACCTGCTTTGACAGGAAGGCAGGCCTGTGCACAGACATTTTGGGAGCGGGACCTCAAGGGGAATACTGCAGTCTTATAAAGAGAGAGAGTGTTCAGATAAAACAAAACACAGTGTCTAGAGTTTTTCCAAAGGCTGTCAAAAACAGTAACATTACCTTCTTTGCATGGATTCGAACCCCAGTTGCCAGCGTGCAAACCCACAGTATTACTCACTACACTGTTTAACCACCTCATAGAAAGTAGCTACAAGAGCTCCATGGAGTCTTGTATAAATCCCAGGTTTTAACAGTAATGAAAACTAGGTGTAGAACTTTAACACCCCTGACATGTTTGGTTGTTCAGAATAACCACATTACGGAATGTGACGCTTTCGTAAAGAGTTTATAGGCATTTCATTGGTGGGATTTCCGGCGCTGTGTTGACGCACCACAGGGGGCACCCAAGAGTGACAAATCTAGTAGAACCACATCTGACCAACAAGCTTTGTTCCAGGGGGTCTTTAGATCGCACAGAAATGTATCTTATATATCGTCGCTGTCCAAAGAAAAACCGGTATCTCCAAAATAGTAACTTTACAGGAGAAAGCAAAAACATTCTTTACTTTCAATGTAAGTTAATGGAAAGATATTTTATTCTAAGCAGTTTTGGAGCATTTCTATTGGACTGATCATCATGAAATTTTCACACAATGTAAAGGACAGCTGCTGAGCTCAAATGATGCAGAAAAGTAAAAATCGCAAAAAAATAGAGATACGTTTTCATGTTTTTCTGAATCTCAGACAATATAAAATATAGTTTTTTGACACACCAACCAAGAGGGCACTTGTAGTACCTGAGGGCAAAGGGGCAGGAAATCAAACACCCCTGATTTGACCCTGGGGTCTATCTGTGTACGTGCCAGCAGGTAGTTTCCATTTGACTGACATGCAAAGCATCCAAAACAAACTGTCCTTTATAGAGTGATGTAGAGGGGCAGCTGATTATCACGATGGTGCTACAACAAAAACACACCCACAAGAAACAAAGTGGTATGTCTGGTGATGTTACACGGCTAAATCTCATCAATGCCTTGAAAAACACTCCTGAACAACTTTTAAAAAGTGATGTTGTGAACTTTTCCAGTTGTTTTCAATCCAGCCAATATATTTTGCTTTGGAAGACTTACCA